ACCACGCTTATAGACTCTTATAAGAGAGTTTTAAATGAAAAAGTGTAATTAACAATTTATTAAAAACTCTACTAAAGTAAATTTCTATAGTTCATATTTAAGATGAACATTGAATAATAAACATATGTTTTGGGTGTCATAGTCATTCACAAATGAATAATGACACAAAGCTAGTACAGCTTGTATTAGAGGATCATTCAAAACTTATGAAGAATGTATACACTTCCAAGATAGTAAAATGAAAAAGTAATATTTAATTGAAGTTAGTGTAACCATTATCCAACTTCAATTAACTATTCAGAAGAACTCCCAAAGATCCCCTTTCTTTAAGTTTTAACCTTTGCAATTATAAAAATTACTTAACCGGTATTGTTGTGAAAAACAGCTCTCAAAAGAATACTTTACAGATTACATGAGTGAATTTTCATTTAAATCGGTTACTGTAAGTGGTTTTGAAAGGTTTTTATTCCTTTCACATAGCAAATTCTCTTCCTGTTTTCCGTATCCTGTGGATGTGTATCCTGTTAGAGGATCTTTATACTGTTTATGGATTTGAGGCATGTCTGAAAACAGGATTTTTATTTGGTGGGACAAGCTTAATTTTACAATGGCATTACAATAATTATCCGGGAAGAAAAAACAAAGTATAAAGTAAAGTTTAAGTAAGTAGTCCTAAATACCTGCACAATTACCGTAATATAAAAAAAAGAGGAAAAACAAAACTCGTGGATCCACCAGTCGTCAAATAATATTAACTGTGTCATTGAATAAACTAAGAACAAAATAAACAAAAAGTAAACAGGATTATTTCTTTCTTAACCTAGCGTTCTTTTTCTATTTTTGCTGCCCTCTGAATTCTACCCCCGACTACTGGTTCTTTTGTGTCTCCCTATTCCCAAACCTGTAAAACGTAGTACTGGCTTGTCGAAGATGAAGTTCCATCACGATGATTTTAATTCGATACTGATGATATTGTGGTCTACTGTAAGATCGATCAAACAGAACTGATACGTTGATAACTTTAACGATTGAAATTCTGGATAAAGATCTGAAATCAATCAAGGACCTTGATTAGTCGACTCACCTGATTCTTGATAACCTACTCTCCATGACTCAACCCTTATCCAGTAGTTGCATTTACTACGAGGATCGACCAGCGTCGTACCAGGTACATAATTTTTGCTGACGTATGCAATGTTATGTTTTGATGAATGAAGTTTAGATTTGTATTATATATAATTATTTTTACTGTGTTATTAGTTATATTAATATGTAATACTTAACTTCAGTTGTTTTATAAATTGGAATTATATCTACCTTAATTAGAGTATGATTATATATATATATATATATATATATATATATATATATATATATGATTCTTTTTTTAATTTTCTACAAAACAAAATTTAAAAAAATTGTAACTGTCATTTTAAAAAAATATTTTTAATTTTTACCGAGTATAAAATAAAATATAAGAAAGTATATCCATTATTTCCTTCATGAAACTACGGTTTCTGCATAATTCATTTAAAATGTTTTGAGTAACCAAAATAAATATAATAATAAAATATTAATATTTATTAATTTCAATTACATGTTACCTAGTTTCAAACTTCGGTGAAGTCATAATAATGTGTTTTCCCTTTATTTTTATTACTGACAGGAATATTGTATCCTTTAGAAAGTTTATTTTGCTATTTTAATTTTTATAGAAAGTTCTCCAATATTTTCTAAAAATATATTCACTTTTTTATATATTAAATTGAACTCATTTTACTTCTTTACCCATTAACTTAAAAAAATAATAATGTAAAAAGGCTTTAAAATATATGAAAAGTTAATAAGCAAAGCTCTGATTTAATTTTATTTTAAAAAAACAAACAATAACATTGGGCTCACAATAATAGAAATTTTCAATGAGCAAGCGTATGAGGAGGTACCAGGATTTATCACAAAGCGCGCGACAACACAATATCTTTGGATTAAGCAACCATTAAGAAAGGGTGCCCAAAAGGGGGTATCATGGCTCCATAAAAATATTTGAGGGGACCACATTTTGAACATTTGAGGAGGACACACTTCGGCGGGGTAATGACTTTTCAAAATGAAACGTTTCGAACCAGGAAATTTGGAAGAAATAGGAGGGATATGGAAAATATTGTCTTTGAATACTTCGACTTAATATAATTTCATTTAACTGTTTTTGAAAAGAGAGCAATAAAAATCATAGGAGAGGGGCATGCACCTTCGACCTGCAGGGATATGGGCAACCCAGCCACTTAGTTGAGTAGGTATTATGAACTCACTAGAGAAACATGTAATGTCGTTCTGATATCCTTTCTTAACAAGTTATTTGACGACCTGCACCACATTTAAAACGTTAAGAGCGACAATGACAAGAGCCGCGGGAATCTATGTCCTCACTGAAAATGAGTTTCCTCAGTTAGTCAGCGAGGAAAATTTCCCGCGGTTTAAGCATTTCATATATGGATGGAAGACGGTGGTAGGGCCCGCTCACTTCCGTATTGGTGCCCGCAGAAGAAGAGGACAAGCGCCAGGAAGACCTCCAGATTCTGGAAGCTAGGCCGAAGGAAGAAGATAGAACAGAAGAACTGTGTGCACATCTAGTAGTAGTGTGTTATTAAGTATTCATGCCTAAAACACACTATCGCAAACACCCGTATTGCCATTGTGGCATAGGAGGGTGGAATAAATAAATAAATAAATAACAAGTTAATTAAACGAATAACATAAAACTATAGAGCAAGAAAATATGACCAATTTTTAAAAAATAGTGGAGCTACAGACAATAGGACAGGTACAGTTTTAAGTACTCAACCATTTTTAGATAATCATTTAACGTATTACTTTTTGTGGGGGTGGAGAAGAGGGGAGTTGGGCTAGATTGCGATACCCAGAGAACATCCGTGAAACCAGAGTTACAATCTCAACGAAACCAAATAATTTTCAATCAATAGATGATCCAGTTAAACGAAACGGGATTTGAACCAGGTTGGTTCATACAGGAAGTGCAACTCACTTAGCTTTCTCACTTCTTGAATAACCAATAAAAACTTTCTATCATAAATATCTTACATTCAGAATCATTTATGCGATGATATTCTAAATAACTGAATGTTAAATCTTGATTGCAGCGTTAAGAACGTAATGCTGATCTAAAAAATTTAAAATATTTTCTTCCATATGTATATTTTTTTATTTAAACTTTATTTCCCTGCTCACACCTATCTCTAATGCTGACAACCAGCGTGTATGCTGTCGAGAAGTAGAATAGTAATAAGATATTAATAAGCATGGGGGAGAGTCCTCAACCACATCCTTTCCTATCTTCATTTCAATATTTATATTAGAAAGAAGATTGCTCATCTGGATTATTTTAAGCCTCCTAGTGGTGTTATCGGGCGTGTTAATTGTGGTCATAACTTTAATGAGTGTGTTAGTATTAGTTATCGTTAAATCTTTTTTCGTCAGTATATGATCTTTAAATATTGGCTTATGAAGGTATTTACGTTGAAAACCTCACCCTTTTAGGCTATACGCGGATTTTTCCGGGCCAGGGGAGATGGCAAGAAATTAATGCAAGAATTAAAAGCTCCCCTTCTCCCCCTTCCAGGCACCGAGACCTGAACTTTATTTGGTTTATTTTAAATAATTAACCATCTCTCATTGCTAGGAGCTACTAAATGTAAACATTTATTTTTTTTTTTAGTTTTGCAAAAAAATAATTTAAAATCCACCTAATTAAGACAATGACATTGTTAAAAAAACTATTTCATTGTAATTGTGTGAAAGAAGAAGGGAAATATTAAAATATTTCATGGATGTATAACCTTATAAAAGCATATTTTTATAACCTTAAATTCATTTACTGTAGTTTAATAATTTTCGATCGGATATTATATTTAAATGATTTGGTATCAACGTCCGTTTATTCCGAAAAATCGTAATGTAACCTTTTAGAAAATTAAATTAGTGAATAATTCGATGAATTTTCCCTTTGTGAAATCCCAACATTATCCACTTAAAATTAATGTGACAACTTTTGACCTATTTATGGCAGGCAATGAAAATCTCGTAATTTCATTTTAGTAAACCTTACAATGTAAAATAACAGTTTAATGAATAATAGGCATAAAATCCATAATTATTTATAAATTTAATATAGAGATATACTTTTAAATCTCACTAGGCACATATACATAGCTCAGAGACTGGATTTATTTCGTTTACAAAAATAGATGGAGTAATTAATTGTTGTTTGTAATAGTTAATGATTTGTTAGCTATAAATTTTATAATAACCCAACATATCCAGAAATTAATTTACATTCGAAGTAGAGAGGTAAATAAGAAAGTTGTGTATTGCGCACACCAGATATCTTTTTTTCAAATATTTACAGGTATATCTAATAAAAATATACGTAGTGTTTTGTTAATCAACCATCCAATCATATTATAATTGGTTCATTTTCCGTTAGCAAGAAACCTAACAAATTGATAATTATAAAATTGTTAATATTATTTCACCAAATGCTTACTTTAGAAAAACTGAAAGATAGTCACTAAAAACCATAGTAAATGTTTAAGATTTTTCTATGGTGATAAAATTAAAAAAAAAAAAAATAAGACTAGCTAGTTTTTAATATTATAGTAATTAATTTTGAAATTATTTATTTATTACTACAAATGGCCATCAAGATTTGTTAACAAATCCTATTTGGTCAGTATACAATTTTAATTAAATATGTGAACAGATTTCTTAAAATTTCCACATTAACTAAATTTTACAATCTGGATTTTTAAAAAACATTTCGATCTTCTTAATCATCTCTCTATCCAAGTTTTATAAAAATGTAGTATGTTCCTCCGTTTTGAAATTATACATTCAAAAAATAAAATAATTCTAACAAATTATTAATCAGACCGACATAAATAATTATCATTAACAATTTAATTCTGTTATAGATTTCTGCTAAGATGCCGACATCCGATGATGTAATACCAACTTTTAATTACAAGATGCCAGAAGTCCCGGAACATCTGAAGAATCTGCCGGATAGAGTGGGTACCACGCTTTCCGGTAAGACCATTTTTATGACCGGCAGCTCTGGTTTCTTGGGTAAAGTATTACTGGAGAAGATCATGAGGAAGACGCCAGATTTCAAACATATCTATCTCCTCATGAGGCCCAGGAAAGGAAAAGAAGGACGGCAGAGATTGGACGAGATGTTCAATCTTGCAGTAAGTAATTCTATTGATATTCGGTCGTAATTCATTCAAATGAAAGTATTCAATCTTCTCAAGTATTTATAATAACAGCCGCGGATCTATTCTGAGTGGGTAGACACTTCTTGGCCCCACCCAACTTCCATAAATTAGTTACGTGGACTTTTATTGGGTTAGGGGGAAATCCTGGTGGTTGAGCTTGGATTCTGACTATTTCACCTTCTACACGTAGAACAATTCATAAAGAAACAGTGCAATAAATATAAAAAAGGACTTTACCAATTCTTCAACTTAGCACCCTTCATATGTGGTGTTACAGATTTATTTATTTTTATATTAACAGGTCAAAACTTTTTTTTTTCTTCAAAAACTTTGCTATTCTATAATGTCATACACATTTTTTTAGCTCCTTTAGACTCAGTAGCGTCAGAGTTTTGACCTAAGAAAAACAAGTCCAGGATTTGAAACATTGTCAGAGTGGAATACAGTAGTCCAGCGATAGCATGAATAAATAAATTCATCATTGGCTAACGTAAATTAACTGATCCTTTCTTAGTTCCGATAGAACATTATAAATACGTCGCAATATGCAAAATATCAGATCATATTGTAATTAAGAAGCGGTTTCATGTTATTTATTTGATTACAATGAAAGTGTAAATATTTAGTAGCTATGATCGATTTCAAATTTCATCGATGTTGATTGTCATGCACTTTATGGATGTTTGTTACCAGTGGCTTAGTCAATTGGCTACACCATTATTTTAATAGCAGAGCTTAATCTCACTCGGTGGCGATCCATTACGGTCCATCATGATTGTCATTTCTTAGTAAAACAGATTTGATCAGTTCTCAATAAAGTTATTGCGTAACTTGAAATGACTGTTAATCTTGCTTCATGATGTGCTATACACGTGCTTCCTTCTCTTATGAATTATTATTATTTTCATTTTTTTTTTTCTTCAAAATTCTAGTTTTTCATTTCCAAAAATTTATCGAAACCTTTTATTCATCGAAAGTCAAAATCATAAAATAGTCAATTTCCAAACCAAACCAGGAGCTACTTCAACATGGCTAATTTTTATTTGTATGTTTACATAAATCCGAATATAACTTCCTCCTCATACTAATTCCTGAATACGCTTCATGCAATTTCATCTACGGTTTTGTAAAAATTTGTTAAATTGTTGTTATCTGCTACTTTATTTTTTAACATGAAGACTTCTTAAATAAAGATTTAAATCTATAATCTTTTGAGAGAACTCATAGAAACCCAAAATTCAATCATAAAAGCAAAGTAGCAGTTTATTGACATTTAAAAGTTATATAATAAAGTTTATAACAATAACTCAACGACCATCTGTTATGCACTTTCCCCCATTGATACCATCTCAGAAACAAGAAGACCTTGAAGACCTCACCACTTTCTAAAGGTATTAACCATGCCGAACCAGGATACTGGTCCGTGTCTCGTCTAAGGCATTACAGGATGCTGAACTGGAAATGTTCCAAGATTCATCCGATCTGTACATTCTGACTGGAGTTATTCTGGCTGAAGTTACATCACCAATATCCGATTAATAATAATAATAAAATAAAAAGAAAGAGAACAATCTGTAATAGAAGGTGGTGGCATAATATAAAATAAAGTATTCCAGTACAAAACTCGTTCTAACATACAGCAATTATCCAAAGTTCTCTAGTTTGATATCCTGGAAAAGTCGTTAAAGACGCAAATGAAATAGCCTGTTCTTTTAATAATGGATATAGATATTGTTAATTATCATTGGTTACAATATAAATTAAAATCATATCAAGAGACAACCTCACCACAGGGCTCACTCGCCGAACTAGTCTTGCCATACCAACTTGCCACTGACATCGGTAGCAGTAAGACACAACATAACAGATTAGGTCGTGAAACTAAGGCTACTTATCACATTTATTCATTTCATAATTGATATGAACCATTTGAATAATTTGTTTCAAAAATAATTATTAACTAAACGCAGAGTGCGAATTTTTTCATGTCAATACTAAACCTAGTTTAAACCCAACTAGGTTTGTAGTTCTCTCTTCTTAAGAGTGCAGTATAAAATCCCAGGCTCGGATTAATAATTTTATCACCGTCATGGCGATATTTGCAACCAAGAAATTATGACATGTCCAAAAAAATTGTATAATACTTTCACTTATCTATATATGAAATATATAGTAAGGGATAGTATTGCGATCATGAAAATTTTCGAATCTGAGTTTTCAACGGAAATACATGTTTTGAGGTCTCCTGAGTCCAAATAATGAAGCTTTTTTATTTGAAACAATTAACCGTTTCACATTGATCCCTAATATAAAAAATAGTTAAATATAACATAATTTGATAATTAACTGAAGGAGAAATAAGAGATCGTAACGGAGGATAGTTGTAATTGCGCGCCTGAAGATTAAAACAGGCTTCCATAGTAACATGAGCTTAATATAATATGGACTCCGACAATATTATGTACATATGCACATGCGGTTTTCCTAAGAGTTTTCGTTGGTATTATTTAATATTTGGTTTTATAGATTGCAGCGATACAAATATTAAAATTTGAATATATAAGGGTACTTAAACAAATAAAATATTCACAATGAAATATAAATCGGTATAATATTTACTTTCACTTTCCCTTTCTCTGAAAATACTTATTTCTGCTAAGAAGAGGGTGGTAAGTGAAAGTTGTGATGCGCGCACCTAGCCAGATTTTTTTAAAATTAATAACATCAAAGAGTTTCTTTCTACTACAGAACTATTCTCATTCGTTTACTATCTTAATATATTTTAAGTTTGTCTCCGACCAGATTAAATAGAAAATATTTTAATTTTTAACCAGACCAAGACCAAGGCCACCTAACTGTTGCAAGAAAAGACCAGGACTGGTAAAAAAAATTGATTTTTAAATAAAAATTAAGGCAAAATAGTTACTAATACTTGACAATCTTAGTTACTACATGTTAATAATTGGTATAACCAATATACTTTTGCATTTAACTCCTCTAATTTTTCATTCGGGCTTAGATAGGTTTCTCATATTTAAAAAATTACAGTAATATCTCTTTACTAATAAACTAATCAGTAACTGCAAGACTCTTGCGAGACTCTTGCGCAAGACCAAGACCATGACCAAGACTGAGTTCGTAAGACTCATCTCGGTCTCGCATTTGGGCAACACTAATATATATATATATATATATATATATATATATATATATATATATATATATATATATATATATATATATATATTTATATATATATATTTATTGTTGTAAGAAAACACTTGAATAACCTCAATATGTTCTCTTTTTAAATTATTATTAGTATTATTCCTAAAACCATTACTGTTACCTGTGATTATGTTTGATTTTTTTTTTTTTTTAACCAGGCCTTCAAGGTTTTTTCTTAATATAGTTCCTTTCTTATTCTTACGGAGTAATTTCCGTTGTCAAAAATAGTAATATAAAATTAATGAAATTAAATAATAATAATAAACTACTAATTTATAAGTATGGTTCACTGTGATGGGTGGGCACAAGATTCATGATCACACTGCACTTGAAAGTTTGATAGAGATCGAGTGTGGATGGGAGATCTGCTAACTTGAAAAGGAGCCGTTGGGTGTTTGTTATTCCTTTTGAACGAGCGTAGCCACGGGCGGATCTACGGAGGGGGGAGGGGCTTTCGGGCTGAAGCCCTCCCTCCCAAAATGGGAAAATATAGCCGTCTTTTATCGAAAAAAATATTGAAAAAGTATCTCTTAAAATATTATTGTTTGTGTGATTACATTTAAAGGGGCTTTAGGAATCACTTAAACACCATTTCATACAGGTAGTTAGTTTCTTTCTTCTTTTCCAAAGTAATTATCGTTATTTTTATGAAAAAAACACCTTTCGGGCTGAAGCCCCCCCCCCAAAAATTGTATCCTGGATCCGCTAGTGAGCGTAGCTACCAGAAATTGAAAACAGCGATATAATTAAAACTAAATAAAAGCTTTATTCATTATTATTATTAATATACCTGTGAGCGCGTCAAGACCCGGCTCTATTCTGTATTTCATTTATATCACGATTATGGATATTTTGCTCACACTTTTAAGTGGAGCAACACTCTAGTAAAGTAGTACCGAGAAAAGAAATATCTCCTTCTCTCCTCCACTCCCCCCCCCAAAAAAAAAAATCCTTAATCCGCTACTGATACGAAAAAGATAATATCTTCTTTCTGGTTTGGCTGTCCTATCGTAAACAAATACTCTTCCAACTGCAGCTAATTGGCCTAGCTTCTCGTGAAGATACAACTTTCACTAATAGTGACCTCAAACTTACGAAACGGTTATATAACCTGTTATGAGTAATGAGCCAACAGGGGAATTCCTTTTATCACCTGCCACCGACCTCGCATAATCTCATTAACATGCACAAGATAATAATTATAAGAGCGTAAATTATAGAGGAGAACTATTGCTTTATTTATGTTTTTGTTTTTTTGTTGTGTTATAAAGAAAATTCTTGAAGTACAATAAAAATGTATCAGATGAAATGTCTTTTAATAGGATTCATTATTTCCTCTTTTTAAGTTTTTCTTACCAATTTAACCTTACTCTTTTAAAGAAAATAAATTCCCAAAACCAATTCCGATTTGAAATAATCAGTTTTTAAATAAATTTAACAAAAACTTTTTTTTTTTACTGCATTACAGAAACTAAATTAGCATAATGATATTGAGAGTAAATTTAATTCCTTTGAAATAAATTAAATTACGATAATTGACAAAAATTAAATTTTAGAAAAATCACTTTTGAGTTTTAGAACATCAAAAATAATTTTTAAAAAAAACCTTGGTCTTGGGTTCAGTTCAATGTGAGGAAGTACTGTTACAAGGCCAATGCTGTAATATCACACTCAACCACCAGGTTTTTCCCCTAAATTAATTAATTACTTTCCTAATTAAGTACCCACTTTATAGAGGCTGGGTTTGTCCCAGGAGGGTCTACCCCCAGGGTCGACCTATGGCTGATAAAAAATTACTAGTCCTCAGCCCAGATTCCAACATGGAACCTTGAGCTCTGGAAGTCAGTGCTCCACTGAGCTACCCTGCTCCATAAAAAATAATTAAATTCAGTAAAATTCTATACAAAAACAATTATTGTATACTTCCTCTATCGCAGATAATTGACGAAGTAGTGATTAAATTCCTTAGAAAGTAATTAATTTTTATTATGTTTTCAATAATATTCTATCTGATTAATCTGGCTTAATAATTATTATAATTTATAATATATATCATATAATGTATTTTAGGCTGCTTATAGGCTATTAAAATATATAATACTAAATATGTGCCTTAAGAGTTGCTAAATGCACAGGTAAGGTGATAATAACTCAATAGATTCAACAGAACTTAACAATTGTACTTTTAAAATTGAAAATAATTTCAATATTTGGAACCCTTATCATTCCAAAGAATACATTCTTTGGAGTGATAAGAGATTCAAATATTAAAACCATTTTCAGTTCCAACATATACAAATGTTAAATTATTTTGAATTGTTGTCACCTTAATTGTGCATTATATAGGCATATATTTGGGTATTATATACTTTAATAACTGATACTAACATTCAAAAGCTGTCAATATGATTATCGAAATATTGGTAGATTTCAACAATTATTTTTAACATCATAAAATCCTGTTTCTTTTTTAGCTTTTCGACAAACTGAAAGAAATGCATGGCGCCGACATACTTAAAAGGGTTTCCACAGTTAACGGAGACGTTCTTAGCACTGATCTCGGTCTGTCGCGAGAAGACAGAGAGATACTCCAAAACGAAGTGAATGTTGTTTTCCATTCAGCAGCTACCATCCGATTCGATGAACCCTTGAGAAAAGCAGTTCTGCTCAATACCAGAGGAACAAAATACATGATGGAGCTATCAGAAGGAATGAAAAATCTAGAGGTAATTAACTTATTGTTAATCATAGATAAAACATTCAAATAATGTAGATTAACACATTTACTTTTACAGTAACTTCCAGGGGTGCCCATTCCCCCCCAAGATCGATGGTACATGAATCTACCCTCCTCCTCTCTCAATATTGCTATGCTCAATGCCCAATATGCAAATAAAAATATTTATTTAAGACAGCTTTTTTATCACACTTGTATTTCTCCAACCGTTAGAGTACCATTTGATCAAGCACCTTCCATCCCGTAAAAGTTTCTTTTATTACATGGTAAAACTTTAAAAACTATTTAAAAATATTAAATTCAGCAAATCACTCACACACCAGCTTACCACAATACATATTGATAGCTAGGTTTTTATTTTTTTTTTAGAAAGTCGTTTCACAACTGAATTGTCATTATAGAACAAAATTTATTTTTTGACTTGGATGGAGGTCTCGATGCGGCCCACGATACGATACTTAGTTCAGGTCTCAATGTGGCCTGCGGGCCAAAAAGTTTGGAGAGTGCTGCTCTAATGAATGACCCCTTTTACATTGTTCTCCATTCAAGGAATGAATCTCAATTTAATGAAATAAAACTTGATAATATAAATAAAATCTTTAACAGACTTTCAAAGATAGATTAAATTTATAGAGTTGAACTTCTTAGCTGTTTTCAATAATCATAAAATTATAATTACCTTTAATGAGAATATCAATTTTATTTTTCTGTCCTAATTCTTTCAGTTACTCCCTTTCTTTATACTTTTTTTTATTTATATAAATGTGGAATTTAAATTTAAATGTTATTCTTTCAGCTCCATGTTCACATATCTACAGCATATTGCCACCTCGACCAAAAAGTCTTAGAGGAGAAACCATACCCAAGCGCTACAGACCCATATAAAATCATCAAGAGTTGCGAACTTATGGACGAAGAACTAGTTGAATCAGTTAACGATAAGTAATATGCATTAATGCATTTAACATTAATATTCAGAGCCTAGTGTAGAATAACTTTCTCAACTAATTTATCTTTTACAGAATACTTAAAGACTTTCCCAATTCTTACGCATTCACCAAGAATTTATCTGAATCAATAGTTTCTGACTTTGTTAAAAAAGGAGTACCAGCGATAATTTTAAGACCTTCCATTGGTAAGTTCTTTTTTTTTTGTAATTAAATAGTCTTAAAATTTATTTATAGCTAGATACTCGATGTTGGATCTTCTTTAAGGACCTCTTAGTTGATTGATAATCAAGATCAATCAACTAATATTGATAAAATGAATGCAATTGTTTCTTTATGAATGTTTTGTTATAGTTATTCCTACCTGGCAAGAACCAATTCCTGGATGGATGGACAACATCAATGGTCCAACTGGTCTTTTGATAGGAGCAGGAAAGGGTGTCATCAGAACAATGTATTGTAATAATGATGGATATGCTGATTATTTACCGGTAGATATTTGTGTCAATGGAATCATGCTAGCCAGTTGGAAATATCTTAAACTTGGGTCCGTACAATGATATCTAATCCCATGACATTGATTATAGAAATGATAAACAAACCATTTCTTTAAATTATCGTTTAAACATTAAATAAAAATAATTTCTTTACTTTCAGTTTCAAAGAAAACTATGTTTACAACCTGACAACTAACTCAGAATGGCAAATAACATGGCAACAAATAATAGATGTGGGAAAAGACATAGTAACAAATGACATTCCTCTAAGCGGTGCAGTATGGTATCCGGGTGGAAGCATGAAGAGGAACAGAATAATTCATAACATTTGTGTCATCTTATTTCATATGATTCCTGCTTATTTCCTCGATACAATTATCTATCTAAGTGGCAATAAACCAGTGTAAGTACATTAATACAATTGTAGCAATATACAAAGAAATGGCATAGGATGGTGGTTCATTAATTTGTACTTAATTTTTTTTTAGAAATAGAAATAGAAATAGAAAATAAATTTATTCTGGGACAAAGTCCCTTAAGAATAACAAAATAGAACATAATTAAAATACTACATCTGGCCAAAATAAAACAATAATAAAAAAGAGAAAGTAAAGAAAATATTAGTTAAACAAGCCATCTACAAAAATCTATATACAAAACACTTAAAACTATGATAAAACACTTAAGACTATGTACAGTAGGAAAAATTATAATTATACTCTTTTAAAAAATAAAATAATAAAAAATACATTGAGTTCTTCTTTAAAATGAGGTGTGTTTCTGCTAACAAAGAAAAAACAAAGCTGACAATATAAAATATCAGTGTCTTTAAATAATGATTAATATGTAGACTCATCCTTGTCAAATGCTAGAGGTACAGATTTAATTATATACCAATAAAAAATAATAATAAAAATACAAATAAAAAGCAAACAATAGATGCGGTCAGTGGCATTAAGAGCCGGAAAATATTGTAATATCCCTAGTGAAGTTCACAGTATAGAATAGCACTATCGTTTGATGATGACTAGAAATGTATAATATCGAAAGTTTAGCAAGTATCTGACTGTTTTTGGAATAGGAATTGGAATAGGAGGGATTTGAATGTGGATATGGAGGAGGAATGCCGAATTTTGATAGGTAGAGAATTCCAGAAATTGGCAGCGCGAGCTATAAAGGAATTCTGAAATGAGGCAGATGTGTGCGAAGGGATGTAGAGGTCAGAAGGTCAAGATCTTGTTGAAAGGGAATGGACTGAGGACTTGAATTGGAGAAGGTTGTAGGCGTAAGAAGGACGATGGTTGTTAATGATTTGATAGAGGAACGTACCTAGGAAATATTGTCTTCTAAAGGAGAGGAAGAGCCACCCTAACTCAATGTAGTGGTGAGAGACATGGGAGTACCTCGGGGCACCGATAACAAATCTTATGCAGCTATTCATTAATCTTTTCAGTCTATCACAGAGCTCCACCGAGAGGCCATCATACACCACACAGCTGCAGTCAAAGTGGGGGAAGATGAGGGAGGAAATTAGGAGTCTACGGGTATGTTGAGGTAGGAGATGGCGGAAGCGATGAAATAGTTTAAGGATAGAAATTGTCCTACGGGAAATGTAAGAGATATGGTAGTTCCAGGAGAGGGTTTGATCTATGAATAATCTTAAATTTTTAATAGAGGAGTAGAAGGAAATTGGCTGGTCATTAAGGTGTAATATGGGAATGTCAGTATCGGATCTAATAAGGGGCTTGGAACCAATGACAATAGCCTGAGTTTTGGCAGCATTTAACTTTAATCCATTTACATTTGCCCAGGCACTGATTCGATCAAGGTCTTCTTGAATCTTGGCAAATGCTACCAGTAACTCAGAGGGAGAAAAGGATAGGTAGATCTGGGAATCATCTGCATAAAGGTGGTGGGAACAATGGAGAATTGAATTATGAAGGTCGTTAATGTAGGAGCTGAAAAGGAGAGGAGATATGCTTGAACCCTGGGCAACTCCGGAGGATAAAGGAAGGTAGGCAGATAGTGGTTGATTGGGTATGGAGACAGCTTGGGTGCGTTGGGAGAGGAAAGATTGGAACCAAGAGATGGAACTATTGGAGAAGGATAATGATTTTAGTTTGTTGAAGAGGATGGAATGGTTGATGGAATCAAAGGCTTTGGAGAAGTCGAAGAGTATAAGGACAGTTAATTTTCTATCATATATTGCAGATTGAATGTCGTTGGTAATTTTAATTAAGGCAGATTGTGTGGAATAGCCGGGACGGAAACCAGATTGGAGAGGATCAAATTGGTTGGACTTTTCGAGGAACTTGGAGACTTGGGATTGCACTAGTCTTTCAAGAGGCTTTGAGAGGTTAGAAAGAATTGAAATTGGACGGAAATCTTCTATTAAATAATTGGTTCTAGAATATGTGAACTAAGATAAAATAATTTCTTTGAACTAAATATATGAATAGGAATAATCCTATATCCAATTATGTTAGAATAAGAATGTTACTATTAATGATTCTTTGTGTATATCATTATTATTATGTGTGCAGTGGTTGCTTTCTACGGTTTAAGTAAAATAAATTATGAAGCCATTCATGTTTCATTTTTTTTTTTTTAATTTACTAAAGACAACTATCCACAAAACATCACTAACAACGTTAATCACACCTCCAAGAAATTTAGCAGAAATATACAACACAGATATAATAGAAAATTATATTAAGATTTTTACTGTTAAAGAAATTTTATTTGAAATTAAATCGATTTTTTTTCTTAATATCATTAACACTCGTATATCAAATAAAAAATCCCTCCTTGTAGGGTCTCTGTTGGAAAGAAACCAATAATTAACATAACACACTAATTGCTAGGATATAATTGGAAGATTCCAAGCACTAATCCTGTATCTCCAAAATACTACTAAGCAATTAATCTATCAATATATCATCAATTCAGGCATCATCAGATCAGAAACAAAGATCACATACAGACAGCGACAACCTCTAGCCATACAACTTTTTTTTTTTATTTACTGTACTCTTATTTCATCTGCATATATCTAATCTTGTCTTTTTCTGTTCTGATGCTCCCTGGATTGGTGAAACATTGAAAAGTTAGTTTGTTTTATCTGCATTTTACTGCATCAAGAATTAGTGTCTGAAATCTTACAACTAAATTCTAAAAATAAATTTATATTTCTTTTTGAATTTTTGCTCTTTCATATTATTATGCTCTTAAAACTTCACTTTTTATTTATTAAAATGAGTAATAATTTCATTTCTTCTTTTAGACTCCTAAGAGTTCATGACAGAATTAATAAGGGCTTTAAAGTGTTTGAATACTATGCAAACAACCAATGGGATTTCAAAAATGATCAAATTCGTTCTTTACGTTCAACATTAAATGAAAGAGAACGAATAGAATACAAGATAGATGGAGATAACATGGATATCAAATTATATTTCTCAGATTGCATACTGTCAGCAAGGGAATATATTCTTAAGGACAATCCAAACACAATTCCTGCTGCCCGAAGACACATGAAAATGTAATGTATTATTATTAATTACAAAAGCTGATTTACATTTTTGTTAGAAATCAGATGAGATTCATAACCGAGACTAAATTTTTCAAAGTTTGCTAAGCACTTTTCACAAAATTCGTTTTCTTCTGCTCAAGATTTTTTTTATTTGCAATTCTATCAAAAAATAGTTCACGTGAATGCTGTAAGCTATTTTTATTTCTTACACTTTTCCACTAAAAATAAATTATTTTAGTGATTATATTCATGTTATGTATAACACTTTAATTTCAAAAAAATCAGTAGTGGTCTGGTACTTAATATTTAATAGAACATAACATTACTTTATTTTTTATTTTTAATACATTTATCTTTCAGGTTATACTGGGTCGACCTTCTGACACGTATTACCTTCTTCAGTTTCATAATTTTCTTCTTCTTCTCTTCAACCGACACTTACAAAAGCCTGATCTCCCTCATCAACAGTTACTACCTAAGAGTTTTTCCTGGCTCAGAACCATTTTCACAACCAGTCAAAGAATAACAAATTTCAATATAATTTTGAAAATTGCATAAATTCATATAACCTTAAGGTTGATAAATGAAATCCTTTATTTACTAGCAAAGACTTCAAAGAGGGAAACTCCTAATGTTGAAGTGTATTGCATAACTTTAATTTTAGTTTTAGTTTAAGCTATTAAGATGTTAAAATTGTAAAACTTTGCATCTCAATCACAATCAAAATGAAATCAAAGTGAAAACAAGGACTCTTGGATTACTATTATTTCTATAAATTATTCTCTCTTTTAATTTAAATCAAAGGAATGCAAAACTATAAGGATTGTAAATATTACTATATGTACATTAGATAAAATTATGAAATTAGACTAAGTTACACACTTAATACTTACAATGTAAATCAAAAGTGTAGTTTTATAATTATAGTGTTATGCTAAGTGCATTCCTATTTATATTCTAGATATACAAAAAAAAATTCACTTTGTATACTAGAAAACATTATTTAAAAAATAACGATTATCTTAACTAATCTAAATAAATCAGGGATACTACTTAGAAATTTAAGTAACTTACAGAACAAACCATTATGATGAAGGTTTTGGGATCATAATCGATAAATATTTCTTGAAATGTTTTCTTTTAATAATTAGCTGTGATACATTCTTATTCTAATAAATATAGAAACATAGGGGTTGTAGAAATATTTGTTTTGACTAGAAATTGTTAACAGTTTTATACATTAAATATATATTATTTTATCCACCAGTGGTTTTCTTCATTTGACCATAGGATATTGAAATATCTTCTCTTCAATTTCCTTATCTGAGATTTGATTATCTTTTTGCAGTTGGTTACATTTAAAATAAAACGTAAGTTAACAACATTTAAAAAATCTTGGTTTGAAAATTGGACCAAAAAAGAAAACACAGATATAAATAAATTTGTCGCAATTTGGATCTGTGTGACCATAGCTTAAAAAATAACATCCAATAAGGGTGCATTAGCAAAAATCCTCAGACATGGGTCAAATATTTTTCGACCTAGTATCACCCATAAATGTTTCATTAAAATCAGTGACCACATATTCGTAACCTCTTGTCAGTTGAAAAAAAAAAAAAAAAAAAAAGTAAAATAGAAAGGCCCACTTGTAAATAAATTATAACATCAGGACTGTTTTTGGAGGAAAGAAAATAAGAACTATCACCCTCATGAAGTAGCTAACAATTTCTCACTACCTCTGGGATGCTAACCAAACTGTCTTTTCCTATAGGCTGAGGTCCCTGGTCAAGCAAGTTTGGCTTCTTCAGTCCCAGATTAATAGAAATAATTCAACACAATTTTGAAAAATTAAATATATTTTTTAATAAGTTCCAACTAAGAGAAAAGGTAAAGAAAAAAAAAATATGGGCAAATACAGAACAACTGAAGAACTGAAGATTAACTACATTAAGTTTATGTGCCATATTTAGACATTCATTACTACAATGACATTCATTGTTTATATTGAAAAGATTACTACAAAGGATCTCAGGCGGATCTATGGAAGAGGGGGGAGAGGGGCGGGCTTTCAGGAGGCTGAAGCTCCCCCCCCCCTTCCCAAATGGTAAAATATAGCCATGTCTTTTGAAAAAAATAACCTCTAAAAGTATTATTGTTCGTATGGTTACACTTCGTAGGGCACTTCAAGAATCACTTAGACACCATTTAATATAGGTAGTTAGTTTTTTTAATTTCTTCCCAAGTTTTAACATTACATATATACATATATATGTATAAAAAGCTTCCAGCCTGAACCTCCCAAAATTAAATCCTGAATCCACTAGTGGACCACTAATATAAATCCTATTAACCCTCCATACATAAGTATTGGTTCAAACCCACAATATCTTTAATGTGTATTTTTTACATGAAATCCAAACTGTACTCGGTTTTTTTGGACTAAAGTGTGTTATTATATAATTTTAAAGTTAATCTGGCAGATGTTGCCTGTTTGATTAGATCAGATGATTTTTTTTTTTTTTTTTTTTGTTAACTGATATAACTCTTTTAACATTATTATGCAAAGAGGTATAGAAGAAAGTTTATATTGAGTTTAAAGTTTTAAAGTTTGAGTTTAAAGTTTATATTGCCTGTTTGATTAGATCAGATGATTTTTTTTTTTTTTTGTTAACTGATATAACTCTTTTAACATTATTATGCAAAGAGGTATAGAAGAAAGTTTATATATATATATATATATATATATATATATATATATATATATATACATATATTGAAAACTTGGTCCTTTCTGTTTTTTCAAGATTCCTGAGTACATAATGAACTCTGGTGCAAACTGATTAACTTGTACTGAGTTGAAAGTGATTCACTATAGTAAAATGGTAATGTGCCTAAGATAAGTTATGATAAAATCAGATTTGCAGGGTGAAAAAAAAATATAACATTTAACACTTTTATTAAGAATAACAACCAATCATGACTTTCTATTATAATGTCTTGGATGAATATATTTTCTACAACACATTGAGAATAGTTTCTACTAAATTTAAAATACCTTGAAAACAAAGCTAAACACCCACCACATTTAGTAAAACTTGCCAAATTAGAGCATTCTATAATGATAAACAACAGTTACTGTCTGTGTCATTAAGAATACAATGAAAACATACAAATATATAACTATCAGTAGATTTTTAAACAGTGGCACAGGAATGTAATTTGTAATGACAAGGATTCTATAGGGGAATTACAAATTATAATCCTTAAGTATAAATAAATAAAGATAATAATTCAATAAGAAAAAAGATCTTCAACTTTAGAGGATATAAAAGTCACTTATATTTACAAAAGATCAATATTTATGGAAAAACATTTTTACCTAATGTATAAAATATCAAAAAATTAAGCCTAAATATCACAAATAAATGACTTAATTACTCAGCCATTACAGAGGAAACAATATAACTTTAGGAAAATTATCTTCTACTTCATTAAAAACTGGTAACATAGTAGATAGTGTAATCTGGTAAAAAATATTATTCCAGAAAATAAAATAAATGATTATATTTTCTAAAATTATACTCTCCTTTTAAGACATGGTTCTATAACATCATTCCATTTCATTTCGGCTACATGGATTTTATCACCTTCAAGTTTGTTCTCATCAACTTCTATAGAAAATTTACCAGAAGGATCTTCAAATTCCTCAGCACCCTCTATATAACAAACAAATATGCAGTGGTAGACTCATATTCATTAATTGAAATATTTAAATATTTATTTCAATTAACTGTAATTAAATTTTCTTTAATATGTTTTAAATTTGTATTGTAAATTTGGTTCCCACATTTAATAACCTTTTTTCTAGATAAGTTAAATTCTTTTCAATACACACCCAACCAATGTCCATAGTTATTTATAATTATTTTTTAATTCTTACTTACCTACTATAATTTCCAAAATTAGTTAATTGCATTTTATTCAGGTAAGTTACCATGAAAGAATAGAATACTATAATTAAGCCTATGAGTTACAACCTGAAAGAGCATCTCTTCATTTTTTTTTTTTAATAGTAAAGAACCTTAGGAACCTTTTATTGTGCATCTGCTGATTTGAGAAAAAAACTGTATCTTTACTCTGTAGTAGTCAATTTATACTATGAATACAAAATATCAAATCTCTAATGCAATATGACGGTATAGCTTAACATCACAGATGGACATGTTGCGTGCAAATATGATGATTAGATTAGTAATAACAACTTACCTTTGATAGTAAAAACGACGAAATATGACCCAGCAGTCTCTTCAACAGTCAACACCTCCCCAATAATTTCATTGGATTGCTGTGGTGTATAATCGTTCCCCAGTTTGATTTTCTATTCATAGTAATAATTGAAAAAAAAAATATTACAATAATAAAAAGTATTAATGTATTAGTAAACAAATAAATTATAAGTTGAGTGTTTTTTCTTGAATAAGAACAACTCAATAATTTTGGATTACCAAGGAAAATTGGACATTAATAACAGCATACGGACCTAATAAGGATGAACTTACAGAAGTGAAAGATATGTTCTTCGAAACGCTGCAGAACGCAATGGACGATGAAGATGGATAATGTTGCTGGAAGACTTGAATGGAAGAGTGTGTAGATGTCAAATTGGTTTCAAAAGAGTGCTCGACTCATATGGAGAAGAGATTAGGAACAACATGGAAAGAAGCTGTTACAATTCTGCGTCGCAAATGACCTTATTCTGCTCAACACAAAGTTTCCTCACAAAGAAATACATAAATATACCAGAGAGAAGCCATCTAGACATGAAAAGTCTATTATTGGCTATATAATGCAGTTGCAATGTAGTCCGTCACTCGGTGTCATTGATGAATTGTTGAATGGTGTCTTCGGGATCCAAATTGATGTTCGGGTATTATGTTTTCGTTTGACAGTATGTCAAGCAGTCTCTTGTTGAGAAGTTTCGACTGGGAGCAGACTAATGGGTTAGTATGATGAAGGAAAGTTGGTGTTCTTGTTTGGTTTGTGAATCATTGTAATATATGAATATTAACACTGTAGGGGAAATTTGGTCGTTCTGAGTATTGTGTTATATATTGATGTTAGGTACGCTAGAGCTTTTCTTGGCATTTTCTGGAACACTTGAGCATTTATTAGGTCATGGCCAGGGGCTTTCTTTTTAGGTAATTGTCTAATTGGCTCTGCCACTTGAGAAGGTATAAAGCAAGGTGGAGGTAATGACAATGGCAATGGAATGTCTAAACTATTTTGCGCATGTCTCTCGTGTTCACTATTAGAGAAGTCAGTATGTGGTGTAAAAACAGAAAAAAGATGGTTGGCAAAGAGTTCAGATTTTTCAAGATCTGACATAGCCCAGGAACCGTCTTAGTTCCAGAGAGGTGCTGACACTTCACGATGCTTCACAAGCTTCTAGATCTGCCTCCATAAACTTCCATCGTTAGTCGAAAGATTTTTTATGTAATTGTCGTAGTTTGTTCTTTTGAAATTCTGAATCTGTCATTTAAGTTCATTGTTAAGCCTATTGAAAGTCCGTTTGTCAGATGGAAGTTGATTAGTCTGCCATACTTTACGGGTTCCTCTCTTTGCTCCGATCAGATCTTTAATGTACTGCGAATAGTTTGGAAGAGACATATTTCTGCTGGGCCTTGGTACAGTACTGTTGTAAGCTGCTTGTAAACTTTTCAATGGCTTCTTTGAGTTCTAGTTCTGTCTTAAGAGACATTGGATTTTAAAGCATCAAATTTAAGCAGTCGCTGATTAACCTTCCAATAAGTGATGGTTTTTTTTTATGCAATACAAGGCTTATCAAACAGTACTAAACTGAGAAGAGGGTTATCGGAACAAAGATCAGATCTCGTTGTTATGGTAGACGGCACTTTGCTGAGTCCTTTAGTTACGAAAAAGTCGAGTAAATAGGGCATTTTTTGTTATGAAGTTGGCCAGTAAGTAGGTGTATCAGGTGATATGTGTATGTCTATAATAAACCTCTCGTCCATTATATACATTCCAGTGCTTTAGTTCACGTATTTCAGTTAACCATTATAGATGGCGCTACTAAGCTCCACTATTTCTTACAACAATATGTCTATCTTATGACAGCTCTTCACTTGATCAGGTGTGATTATCTTTCTTATCTTAGTTTTCTCCTCTTTTTCTTTTCCTGTCACTCTCTTTTCCATATCTTGCTCCTTCTCTATTTTGTGTATATTGATACATTTGCTCTTTTATCGTTTTTTTATATTATTTTAACTTTTTATTCTCTTATACGTTGTCAGTATGTTTTGATAGATTTAACAATATCTCAATTTTCTATTTATATCTATTACTTCTTTATATAACTTCATATTCCTTTTCTCTGTTTTACATTTTATTCTAAGATTATCTCACTCCCTTTTAGCATACTAATACATCATATTTTAGCAATTACGTCACCCCATTTATTTTTTATCTACACTTACATTTATTATCTTATATATTCCACTACTTTCCGTTATTAATTCATTTTCCATTTCTTATATTACCTTATTTTAATTGTTTATTTCATTAGTCCCTACTTTCTTGCCGTTATTATGCATTTCTTAGTTCTCTCTTACTCTATCTACTTTATTTTACTTTAAGTTTATTCTAACTACATTTCTTTTTTTTTTTTTTTTTTTTTTTTTTATCTATACCTTTAACCTTTTTAATTTTAATTCCTCATTATTCAATGTTTATAGTATCTCATACATATTGTTATCTGTTTTTTTCAGCCCTGATGAAGGCCTGAACATTGGGCTGAAAAGTAGGCAAATATAAAAATGAATATAATTATTTATTTTAACTATTTTTTTTTTACTGATCATCCCAACCAGTATTATATTCAATTATTCACTATAGTCCACCATCTATCCACAATTAAAGATATCAATAAATCATGTAAATGTTTAGGACCTGTAACGACTGGAATTAGAGATGAAAATAACAATATCCTCACCGACCTAGTAGACATATTAAGTAAGTTTAAGAAACAGTTTGACAATATTTTAAATATATCGAATAATGATCTGGGTCCTCCTTCTCAGTACCAGAGTGCCGAACCATTAATAAAAGAACCAAGTAAAGAGGAAGTTGGAATAGCTATCAGAAAATTAAAATCTTATAAAGCGGGAACAGATAATATTCCTGATAATGAAATAATTAAGGCATGAGGGAAAGCTGGAGTTTCTAAAATACATTTTTTTTTTTTAAAAAAGATCTGGGAGAATGAGAAATTGTCTGAAGAATGGAAAGAATCTATTCTTGCACTTCTTAGGAATTGCACTCCTTCCGGTATGTTATAAAATATTCACAGTAATCTTAACTAGTCAAATCAAGGAATAAGTCGAAGACTGCCAATGCAGATTCAGACGGAACCGTTTTACTATTAATTAAATATTTTTTTATGTCAAATATTGGAGAAAAGATTAGAGTACAACAGTGTTATTCACCAGCTTTATATCGATTTCAAAAAGGCTTGATTCCACTGACTGCCAGAAGCTGTATAATATTCTAATTGAGCAAGGGATCCCAAAAAATTAGAGAATCTAGTTACGATGTGTATGTCCGAAACATTCAATAAACTTAGAATCGGTATTTATTTATCGGAGAAATTTCTTATGAGCTTGAAACAAGATAATTCCTTAGTTATTTAGCAATAATTACTTCCAATTGGTAACAATTGAATGTATTTCTTAAATTATCAACGTTACATGTTAACAAGTTGACGTTTCGGGATATTTAGTCCCATCTTCAGAACTACATTCCCAATAATCTTGTGGATACAAGGCTAAAAAATTGTTTGAGTCAAAATATAGTTTTGATTACACATCCATTGATTGATTGAACATTACATGTTAGAATTTTGTTGTTACAATAAATTTGTAATTACCTTAAAAATAATAATAATAATCTCCATCGTCAAATTTCTAATTCATGTTATAAAATATATCATCTAGAGCAACATCTTGCTTTAGACCAATAATTGGGTGTCTGCGATAGTGAAATACAATTGACCTTTGGATCTGACTGTTTTATCTGACTATTTTTATATTATTGTTGTTAATGTTTATTTTATATATCTGCAATTTTACTTCTATTAAATTTTAATTTTGTTTAATATGTCCGTATAATGATTTCTTAAATGTTTAGTGTCTGTTTTATAATTGACTGTAGTTCTATTGTTTTTTGTGATGTGTATTGCTTCAAGTAATTTCCTATTGGTGTTTTTTTGGTGTTATGTGCCTATTATCTGTGGTTTATTGAAGTTAAATTTATAATGCTGTAATCGTATACAGTGATGTGCTAAAGCTGTTGTGTTTATGTTTTTTTTTATTTTTACAGTTGTAATATGTTGTGAAATTCTGGTTCCTAATTGCTTGGATGTTTCACCAATGTAGATTTTGGGGCATTTTTGACAATTTAATTTATATATTAAATTTTTCTTGTTTATTGGGTCTATTTTATCCTTTGTATTGGTGATGTGCCTGCTCAGTTTCTTATTATTATAATGTCCGAGTTTAATTTCTGTTAAGTCATAATTTTTGAACACGTCTTTAATGAAAAAAGAAGATAATTCCCTTTCACCTGTCCTATTTAATTTGGCATTAAAACATGCTATTAGAGATATGTTACATACCGAAAAAGGTTGAATCTGGGTGGAACAATATCCATGCTTGGTTATACTGATGATTGGATACTGTTAAGCGAAGACACGGAAACAATAAAACTAAATACAACAACATTGTTGAAAGACAGTAAAGAACTGAGGCTTGAAATAAATATGGATAAGACAAAGTATATGGTCGGCAGCAAAAATGACGACAATTCAGTGTTGTAGATATTGAAGAATAGACAATGTAAGGCAGCTGTCCTCTTTCCAATATGGAAAAAATATAAGTTAAAGTGCAACTAATTTCTAAAACAATGATTGACAGTGACATTTTAGTTATATATATTAAACGAGGCCATGTTAGCCAAGTGTGACAAGGTATCACTTCTACAACCTCGTGCCTGTTCAATTACAGCCTGAGCGGATTCAAATGTATTTCATGGTGGAACCACACAATGATTCTCAATCTACCCACTCTAAGCAGAATAGGTTGGGCTAACAGTAAACAAAATGCTTTTATGGTCAAGTAGCTGAGAACGATATTTGAAGATTAACGTTACATGGTGGATAAAAGCACCAAATTTGTACTTACATGAGAAGGTTGAAATGATATTACAGTTTTGTAATTCATTCATAAAGTGAATCTGCTATAATTATATATGCATGTTATTGAGCTTTTTTGAGAATCACCCATATACAGATGAAAAATTTTCATCACTACAATATACTACCAGAGAAATGTGTGATAAAAACTAAAATGGACTTATATTACTTCAAAAAAACAATGATAGGTATAGGTAAACATAATAATATTTAAAAAAAACGCTGCAAATTATTTCACAATGGTTTATTATTTCCAAACAATTATACATCCAAAGTAACATTACCTTCCGAGTTACAAAGGAAAAAACCAAAAGGTGATTCCAATTATTGGACTAAACTGTTTTTCTTTAATCATTAGTAATATGCTAAACAAAAATAGCATTAGTTCAGTAACACATTCAAAATTTAAAAACCAAACCAAGGACATTTAGAGTAGAACATATAAAAAAAAACTGGAGACCATATCTTTGCTCCTATTTGTCCAATTTTAATGAGTTTTTTTTTGTTTTTTAGCAAATTTTGTAAACTTTTAAAAAACTATATACAATATCAACAAAAAAGTAAAAATTTTTTGAGTTATACGGAATTTAATTTTACCATCCCTCGTAACTTTTTTTCCAGCTTCTTTTCGTTGAAGTATGTTATATAGATAAATTTAAAGGGCGTCGAGATAATAACTTTAGCGAAGTACCATTGAAATCTGTACATTCGTTTAGGAGCTACAGTCTATAGCAAAGCAGGTTTTTCGGCCGCCATTTTGAAAGTTAAAGGCGGAGAGAAATGTCGATGAAGAAGGATCATCCTCGGGTGACCTCTGATTTTATATCAAAATTTGAAAAAAAAATCGATCCAGTAGTTTCGGAGAAAATGCGCGGACGGCGGACGGACAAAAAAATTTTTATTCGTTTTTCGAATTCTACGCGTCCTGAAACGTGAAACCTCAAATTTTAAGAGGGGGTTAAGTTTTTGAATTTTTTGGTCGATCACAATGGTTGATTATTGAAAATAATAAACCAATAAACTAATCTTTAGCCTCAATATTTTTTTTCATAATACTAAATTTATGAACGAAATGGATAATCAATAAATCAATCAAAATCTCAACTTACTTTAAATGAAATCAAATCCCCAACTTTTGGTACAAATGTGGCAGAATCAATTAGTTCAGGCTTATTTTCATCAGTGTTAACAGGAGTCGGTTCTATTGTAGTGGTTCCAAAATCTTCTGATTCTGGAACAGTAGTTACTGCAGTTTCTGATTTCCTAGAAAATATTTTTTGAGATGCTGGTTTGTTGGCAAGATTGCGTAGTGAAGAACGAAATTCATCAACTGGGTTTCCATTCACTTTTGGTGATGAATGAGCTAAATTAAAAAAAAAAAAAATCAATAATGTATTTTTTTTACAGTGCTATAAATTTTAGATTTTTATAAACATATATTTTTCTATATTACAATAAAGAAAACAAAATTAAGAATTTTAATTTCAACATTAAGAAAAATTACCTACATATATGCAACTCATTTATTAGCATAAATGAACCAGATATATATGCATGTGTGTATATTGTAATGATTTGCCAAAAAGCTGCTGCCCGATAGCCAAAAAATATCTTTTTCTATTATAGATCACAGCCCAAAACCATCTCTGACAACTTCGATGACAATTGCTTAGATGTCTCATTAAAGTCCTATAACTATCGATCTATGTAGTTCATTCCCCAGGAAAAAGGAGAAAAAAAGCTAGAGAGAAAAGAATACTTTTTTCCACACAAAAAGTATATATTTGATGGTTAATTATTATATAATGTGTCCACTCACACCCTTCCTTAATTCCTTAATGTCCTCTACAAAAACTGTTCACTATTACTTTGCTATTATTGACCTCATTAAGATTTTTTTTTTTTAAACATTTCCCATAACTCAAAAAGTAAAAATTTATAGTTCATTAAATACACGATCCCTTAAAAGATATTTAAAGTCCAACAAACCAAAAAAAAAAGTCTGCCATGTAAGATCACGATAGCTTCCTCATCACTTTCATTTATTATACAAGTACCTATATTTCAAGGTTTATAATTTTTCATATGAGAATAAAATCTATGGAAGAACCCATTTTCAAAAATAGAGTAATTTCTCAACATTTGTGGATTTGATATCCGCATATCTGAGCAAAAATGTTATTTTAATCTCCTTCACCAATAGAAAGCTTCCCTACTTCAATAGCGAGGAAGTAAAAATATGACTATTATCAGGAAACAATAATTGCAATAACATCCTAATGCACTTTGTACACATGTTTTTGTTTATTTTATATTTTCAAAAATGAATATTTGTAATATAATAAGCTAATTCTTTGTTTCTACAAATAAATCTCAAAAAAAGATTTATTGTGATACCTAATAAATATTATTGTAATTTTGGTTAAAATTCAACCTATGGGCAATTGTAGTTATTACAAATATATTTCTAAATATAAAATATCAAATAAACAATTAAAAGATTACACAAACATATTACATTATTACCATACATTTCTTCTTTGTTATCCTCATCTGAGAAGTGAATGTGTTTGCTTGAAGAATCTAAAGAATCAAAAGTGATTAAATCACTTTTATTTGTATTCGTTTCTTGAAATATAGAGGGTTCCAGTAGTTTTGATTTCTTTTTATGCTTTCTTTTACGTTTCTTAACAGGAATCCCAAATGACTGTTCCACTTCATTACTATCATTCACTGTTGAGGCAGAATCATTATCTTGAACACAATTTTTAACGATCTCCTCTTTCTTAAAACGTAATTCTTCTAAACAGTCTGACAATAATTTTTCAGAAGGATCCACACTTATTGAAACTGGAGCAAATTTAGATGTTTTCATGTTTGGTGGACTTTTTTCTGATTTGGCAAACCAATCATCATCATTGGAACAAAATTTATGTTTTTTAGAGCCCTTATCATCTTTTTTTCCCTCTATGGTCCTTATTCTGCAACATGAAAAGTGTAATTTTATAACCAGATAGCAAAACAATAAATGTAGCAAACCAAACCAACAATGTAGCAAAATAATTTTATTTATTTATTTTTTTGTGTGCGTTAAATTCCTGTGAATAGACAAAGCTCAAAAAATGAAAAATTATAACAGAGGATGAGGACCTAAACATACTCAGGAGTCTCTAATTATGGTATTAGAGTAATAAATGCTAAGGACACCCTACAATAATGTTCATAAAATACATACAATAAAATAATTTTATCTGTCTCAAAAGATGATTTCATGAATTAAATAAGCCTAATATGCGTCATTTTAATTTATGCTTAGGTTAGGTATCCATTAATTAAATAATCAAATAATTAAACTTAAGAAGGATACCAAATTTAAGTCAGTTTTGTAATCAATAAAAAACAATTAGAATACGTCAATCTAATCAGTAATAATACAAATATACCTTAAAAATACAACCAGTTTTAAATTAAATTAATTTATTTTGTATGAATGCCTTACAGGCAGTCCACAGAGGAGTCTGTCAAGAAATTGTTCTATAAAACTGTCATCATAGAAGAGAAGTGTTCAATAGCCCTCTTTCAAATTTATCAAACAATGTAAGCTATACTAATTTAACTACCACTGTACAAAGCCACTTCACCTTATCCAGTGGGTCAAGATCCCTTGTTCGTGGTATGAAGGTGATTCCAAGAATAGTCAAGGATTGACAACTGTTCACAGTACACCCTCTATTTATTTAGATAGCTATTTATAACTTTTTTTTTCTTTCGCCCTACCTGGCATTGTTGCGGGGTTTTAGCAGCAGTGGGTTAACATGTTTGGGTTCTTGTATGCCCACTGCTATCAATAATCCACACATTATTAAACATCATTTATTTTATTAATTATTTATTTTTATTAACTGGGTTAACTGTGGTGCAGCCCGGTACACGGTTGTGCACTTCTATGATGGAACTGCATCTTGTCCGCACCGCATCTTTCCGGCCCTTCCTTAATGTTCTTCGGCCTCCTCAGGTGGTCTTCTTGCCGCTCCCAGGGAGAAATGTGCAGGGCCGATCGTATCTCTCAACCCATACACAAACTCCCGGAAGAGCGGGTAATTTTTTTTCTCCACCAGGCGGTGATAATCCTATTCCGTTATGGCATACATTCCCGTTCCCTTCACCAATTTTGCTATTTATAACATTACATCCATGGCAAAATCCATACTGGCCCTTTATAATTAAAATCAGGACATTAACTACTTTGGATTACATTGCTGCTTCTGATTCCCGCTCGCTCTGAAAATACATACAAATCCCCAATGGGTTCTTTTATTGGAGGTTGGGGCCTTACTAGACGGTTCACAAACACTCAACCATGATTTTATTTATGATGTGATCATCAGATCTACTGCCTCCGAAACTGGAGTGATATTTGTACAATAGTACCCTCTTTATAAGTATTTAGAGATTGACATGTGCCATGGCTGGTTGGCAGGTAGTTTGAGATCACATTTAACACACATTCCAAAAGTAGTAAATTGTGTCCAACAAGGTGATTCATCTTCAAAGATTCCCCAACCACAACTCAAAAAGTAACCATTGGGAGTTTGGTTATCCCTTGAGCGAGCACAGTCAGACCACCCTTGAACATGGTTAACAATCCTCTTTCACAATTCCATCTATAGCATGATTGATATGACCTCGACCTACCAGGAACCAAATATAACACTTGAAATTATTAATTTTGGTGAAGATTGTGATACCCTTTAAAAATCTATGGCACTACTCTTTTTACTATCTTGCAAACCATTGAACATTTAATTAGTAATAAGTATGTAGTTCTTTAAATCGGTGGATGAGAAGATTAAAAAAGTATCTCTATATCATATAATTTCAGAAAATAGAAGTCTATAGTTACTGTACTCAACTTTGTGATATTCATTTGTATACTGGCAAAGAATAAACTTAGTAGAACTCAAGACTGGTAAATACAGAACTATTTTAAATATGTAAAAGACTTCATATACCTGAAATAAATAGTATGAGATATATATTTATAATACCTGATATACAATCATGTATACATACATTAAAATATCATTAGGTTGAATTAACTTTATTGTTTCATTTTCAGGCAATAATACGTCCCCGATATAAATGTTGATTTCTTCTTCAATATTGAAAATATTTTTGATATGATCCTGCACAGCTTTTATTTTGGACCATCGTTCGTTAATAAAAATAAAACACTTCCTCAAACCAGCTTTATCCCCTATACTAAGCTTAGAACATATTCTGAATCCACCTAAATTTCTAACATCCATTTTTTATGATTTATTCTTGAAAGGAATTGTACATTATCTTAACCTTAATAGAGGATAAAGCGGCATTTCCAGTAAACGGTGGTTACAGAACCTCCCAGCAGTTAAAAACCAATGTAGAAATCTGTACAAGGCTAAAATGATTAATTAAAAACATACGAAAATATAATGAATTATGTGAAGATGCTGGGCTATTATAAAATTGTTTGAAGTGCATTTTAAGCGTAGCTAAAGCTTACAGATAAGAATTCATTAAGACCATTATAATTACAAAATGTCTATTTAATATATCGACGACAGGCAATAAAAATCTATTCACTCTATCTGCTTTTATAAACCACAAAATGACTGACTCCAATTTCAACATTTTTGAGTGATGTCATTTTAGTGATATTTTTAGTTGAAAAAGTTATCTATGCAGACAATGAGTAAGTTGATTCAAGAGGTGGTGATTGCAATCACTAGCGGATCCAGGATTTAATTTTTGGGGGGGAGGCTTCAGCCCGAAACCTTTTTTTTCATAAAAATAACGATAATTACTTTGGAAAAACAGAAAGAAACTAACTACCTATATGAAATGGTGTTTAAGTTATTCCTTAAGTACTTTTAAACGTAATTACACGAACAATAATACTTTAAGAGGTATTTTTTTATTTTTTTTTCCCATAAAACATGGTTATATTTTTCCATTTTGGGGGGGCTTCAGCCCGAAAGCCCCCTCCCTCCCCCCCGTAGATCCGCCCGTGATTGCAATGTTGAAATATAAAACTGAGAATAAAAGTATAAATTTAGGTACTACTTTCTTATGAAAGATGTTCTTAGGAAAGACACTTTATTAAAAATCTGTAGAAAAAAAGTTTTTTTTAGTCTCAACAATTAAAAAAATATATTTTAAATTTATCCAAATGTTCACCTCTTCAGGGAAAAAAACTAGAGACCATATCTTTCCTCCTAATTGTCCAATTTTAACGAATGTTTTTTTGTTTTTTTTAGGAAATTCCATAAACTTTTAAAAAACCACATACAATATTGACAAAAAAGCGTATACTTTTTGAGTTATTCGGAATTTAATTTTAACCACTTTTTTTCCAGCTTCTTTTCGTTGAAGTATGTTACATACATAAATTTAAAGGGTATGAAGAAAATTACTTTAGCGAAGTTTCATTGAAATCGGTACATTGGTTTAGGCGCCACAGTCTGTAGGAACTCAAGTTTTTCTGCATTTTTATTTTTTTTCTCCTTTATTAATTTATCAAATTCTTTCAAAAGTTATATGTAGCATTTTTTCGTAACTCTGAATAATGCGAAATGGTTAACTTTTTAAAATAAACCATATTTAAGGTACTTTAGAGGAAGACATATATGAACATTGAGCATTTAAGCCCTGTAAAGTGACATCAACGGGGATAAAACCTAAATATTAAAGACCACTTAATTATACAATGATACACCGAGTTTGATCAAAATCGTTAGAGTCATTTTTGAGAACATTGTAAAAATGTGTTTCAGAGCTTATATAAAGTGGCACTTCCGGTTAGCCGATTTTAACGAAAAAGTTGCTGTCACATCCGGCCCATATACAAACCTTAAATACTTAATATCAGTTTCGTACTACTTTTCGTTTATGAGCTAGACTGTTAACACACACACACACACTGACCATTTTGCGACACTTGGTTATTTGAACTCAGGGGACCTCAAAACATGTATTTCCGTTGAAAACTGAGATTCGAAAATTTTCACGATCGCAATACTTACCCTTACTATATATTACATATATATGTAAGTAAAAGTAAAAATATGTGAAGCACATTTAACTGTGGTCAAAACTGATTTTCTCACTCTGACACGCACAATAATGAGGATTAATTTTTCAATTGTCACCAATTTTTATCATGAAGTTAAAAAATTCTTTTCTGGACCCAATTAAATTTTTTTCTTTTAATTACTTAAAAAGTGTAACTTTAGTTTCTACTGACGTTATTTGAATAATAAAACAACATCTTTAAACACTTTTTCCATAACATGAATTTTCTCGTAAATCAAGGGTATGGGCAACCTGGGGTGCGCACATTTCTCCTAAAAGATTGAAGGTACATGATAATCATTACCCAAATTTTCCCCATAATACAAGAAGTTCCTTATAGAAACAATTATGCTCTACAATTTTGGTCCTATCCACATGAAAAAGGCAAAAGCCGTAATAGAGTAATTTTTAGATAAGTGCTTGAAACATTTCTCATCTTCCGATAGTATTTACCGGTAAGTATTAGCCAAATGATAAATAGAACACTTAAATGAGAAAAACTGACAAAGTGTGAAATTTGGGGATGGGAGGGAGAGGTTTTTCGTGCATTAGGGAATACGTCATCCACCAGACAGGTGAGAACTCTTTTGATTCTTATTTCTGAACCTGACACCATTTCATATACGTAGTTAGTTTCTTTCTTTTTTTTCCATGTGTTAGTGATGGTTGGGGAGTTTTGGTAATAGGTTTTGAGTCTGCCGTCAAAAGGAGAGGGGTATGATCTTAAAATAAGTCAGTCAAATCAGTAATAGTATTTATTCTCTTAGCAATGAAAAAATTCAAAACGTCAGGAATCCTGTTAGCATTCGTGGGCCAGGTGAAGAGAGCGATAAGCTTTAACAATTCTGAGTAAGAATCGCATTTTGAATTGCACTCACCTTAATTACTAGTTCTGCGGCCGCTTACCTGGGTCTTAACGTTGTAATAATACCCACCACATAAAAAGCTGTTACTCAAAAAAACTAACAACTGCTTAAACATTTGGATTGATAAATTCTTACCAGGAAGGAAATATAGAGCTGCTACTGCAAGATTAAAATGAAATAATGGAAGAGAAAAACGGTTGGGCTGATCAGTCAAAAAAAAAAAAATAGTAAAAATGAATAAGTATATTTATTTTTGCGGACTTTTCGACCCAAAGTTCAGGCTTTCATCAGGGTTGGTCAAAATGAAATACATTAACTACTGAAGTGCATCTAACATATAAGGTTGTAGAAATCAATAGAGAGTGAGAAAAAGCTAATGTTTTTTAATTTTAGTTAATAATGTCTATTTTATATTATTGGATGTGAAATAAACATTTCCATAGAAATTAAAAGTAATTTCTATAAAAATATATGAGAAAAAAAAAAGATTTTTTTTTCTAACCTTGTTGTACCCAAAATATACAATGCACTGAATTGTCAGAAATTTAAACTTTATTTGGAAAAAATACTCCCCCTTTGATAGTTAAAGTCAAGACTTAAGGAAAATAAATATAGATAATAATAAAATAAAAAATAAGTGGAAATACCGACACTCAACTATTAATGACAATAAATACACCGAGTCATAAAGAATATTTGAAATGTTAAACAGGAAGGTATTTACGCTCTTGGAAACTTATAATGAAAACAGGTCATTAAAAACAATGAGAATACAATGAATTAATTATTAGTTGGAATAATGACAATACACGAGTTTCTTTCGTTCATTCAATTCAACCACACTTTTTTTAAATTTAGAAATCTTGTTTAATTTTTTTTTTAGTCTTAAAATGTTTTTGTTTTGTTTTTTCTAAAATTTACATAAACAATATAATTTCAATATATTAGTGCTAAGTTGGTAAACGTGTACATGTTAAGTTGGCTAAAAACAGTGGCAGAAACGGAATTTTGTGAACATTTATCAAACTGAATTGTTGTTAAAGCTTTTGTGGAATGAATAAAATGAACAAGGAAGTACATTTTTTTACCATAAGAGTTAGATTGACGCATAACCTTGTATATAGAATCAATTGACGTAAGCTTCTTTAGTAAAACTGCATAACAGATTCTATCAGAAACAGACAAACTGCGTGAGTTTTGATATTACATAGCTCCCAAAAGTATCTAATTTTTTTTTTTAAAACACCGATTTTATATTTCACTGTGAGTCTTAGACAATAAACGAGTCAAAGCAATAATATAATTGGGTGTATAATAATTCTAATGAGAAACATGTCATTAATTTTTTAAAATACATTTAGTCATAATATTTCTTCAAAACGCCTAAGAAGAATTTTAGCTTCTTTTCATATTAATTATAAAATTAGTTGCTTTAAATATGGCTTTAGTGATGAATGACTGGCAAACCAAGAGCAAAACATTTGCTGAGAAATGTAGTTATGTATTCGAAAAAAAACTTCTTACTGACTGTGAATTTCATGTGGAAAGTGAAAAGGTAGACTATTCTGTATAAATGTATTTTTAAGAAATAATTAACCACTTACTCTGTGTTTTTTATTGCAGATCCAATGCCACAAGCTGATTTTGGCAATGTCAAGCCCTGTATTTCAAGCAATGTTTTTTAATGGATATAGTGAAGAATCAGTTCCAATTATTATTAGTGATATAAAACCAGACATTTTTCTCCAAATGATTCAGTATTTTTTAATTTTCTATTTTCAATTTTATAATAATTTACAAAATTTGCAGATATTTAATATCTTATTTATTTTAGTTTCATCTATGACATACCAATTTATATTCAGTCATACATAAATGCTTGTGACTTATATTATGCAGCAAAGAAATATCTTTTGACTTTTTTAGAAAAGGAATGCATCAATTATTTATTAGAATATTTGAATCATTCAAATGTTCTTTATTTATATGAATTTTCCAAGTTTCATGATGAAATTAAGCTTCGGAAACAATGCATTTTGGTAATTACTTGAAGTTGAAAGTGAATAAAAGTTTTAAATTATAATATATTTCGCCTTTGAGTATAATAATACAATATTTTATAATTTTAGGAAATACAGTTGCATACAACAGAAGTTTTGAGAAGTGTTCATGCAAGTAATATGTCTGAAGACACAATTTCTTCAATTTTAGATCTTCATACGCTTAACGTGCCTTCGGAATTGACATTATTCAAAATGGTAGAAGAATGGTTTTTATCAACTATTGATATGAAAGGTGAGTAACTAGATTTTTTTTTTTTTTTTAAATCTCTGAGTAAGTTTTGCTGGGTTGGGTAAATTATTGCATTATAATCAATTTTTGATATACCTAATCTATTGCTTAACTTAAATATTGTATTGTTTGATTAATAAAAAATATCTAACAAAAAAAATATCATTAATATCCTGTAAAAAATATAATAATAAGAATTTAAAGAACTTTGGTTTAAAAATTTGTATTTATATACAGTATTCTATCAGAACTTGAGAATGACTTGGAAGAAGAATGAAGAAAATATTGACAAGAAAATAAAACAGTCATAGTTTCAACAGATCAGTTAAATATTTTCTTAAATTTGATTTGAGGATACATGAAAATAGTCTAAAATTAACAGTAAAAATAAAATAAATAGTAAAGACAAAAAAAAAGTTGTATTAAATAAATAAATGAAGCATACACATAAAGAAATACCAACTACCGTCTGTTTACAAACTAAACTGAATGATTGTCGCTATATTTGCATCGCTGAAGAGAGGTGATAGTAAAATAAAAGGCAAGTAATGGAAGATATGAGTTTCTATTTTGTCAGACAAATTCATAGTGGTAGATTTGACAAATAAGAAAGTTTTTAAAGAAGTAACTATTGACTACCATTATGAGAATAGAAATTACCTATTCATTTTTACTGGATGGGATTATATGAAATTATATGTTCATGAAACTTAGAACGCAAAAGAGGTCAGTCCATCAAAATTCAAGGAAAAGGTTACATATGATTTAATTTTGAAAATATTTTTTAATAATATATTTTATCATAAGTTAACAAATTGGAATACTTTTTTACCAATTAAAATTAGAATCTTAACAATTGTATGATTGAATTTTATTGAAGGAATTAATTCAATGTTGAATGTTAATTATATTTAAACCACTTCAAAGGATTATAACATATGCCTATTAATCAACACTGAAAACACCCATATTTTTATCAAATATATTTTACTAATACGTTTAGTTTATTAGACTTTGCAAGTAGTAGATTAAATATTGTGATATAATCTAAACAATAGTTTTAACTTACTATCACAATGGAAACAATTCATAAATAATAAAATTGTCTATTTCAGTCCTAGTTCTAAACCAACTCTTGTATCAGATGTAAGTTAAAAAAAATATAAATGAATTAATTTATATTTGTTTTTTTTTTTTCAATTCAATATATTTCCATCCCAGAAATTCCAAAATTATTCTTATCCTCTTTTCTCACTTTTTAATAGACTTCTATAAAATTTTAGGCATTGAAAATTCTTTCATTGTTCATTTGGTAGTATGTGTTCTTCAGGAATAGTATGTAGGAGTAATAAAAACTAATAAATTTAATAAAGATTTAATAAATCTTTTTCTATTTTTTGAATATTACTTTTTAAAAATTAAAAATTTTGTAGTTTAGAAATAATGAACAGAGCTTTCAATCATAACGAAAGGCTGTTATAGTTATTTTTTGTTATTGAACTAGCCATTATCACTTCAAAAGTAAAGTTTCCAAGAGTGTACTTTGATATAAAATCTTTTTTCTTTTTTTTTAATTACTTTTATGTGTGTGTCTGCATGCAGTGAATTAATATAACTTTGGATCTACTAACAATGAAGAACAAAAATTACAAATACCTCAGAGAAATTAAGTTCATGAAAAATGTGAGAAGTTCATCAGTAAGGAAACCTATCATGCAAAGAAGAATAGTGGCCGTTTAGTGCCATCTCAAACAATATACTAAGGTTTTCAGATCTAGAACTTCCAGCCACAACTTGATGATGACCTATTTTCCTTTACAAGCTAGAACTTGAAAATGGCTCCAACATTTTAAGGAATCATCAAGTACTACACAATCTTTAGATTTGTATGTTAAAATAAATCTGGGTACATTAGATAATACATTATACAATAAATAAACAAGCATAGGCAATATTTTTTTTTCAATTCAGTATACATTTGTAAAAATTTAAAGTAGTTTTGAGAAATAACGTTTCAGTATATACTTGCTTTCAAATCCTTACCCAATAAGTATTTTCAGTTATGTTATGTATATTTAAACTATTTTGTTAAAGTTCAGTAGTATTCTTTTTTCTGTTTATTACAATAACTATAAATGTGTAGGCATATATATTCAGTTAAGGAATACATAACAGCTATTGTTTTTGATAGCGATATTCCTATCTATCGTAGAGGGTGGTGTGTAAATTAAAATATATTTCATGAATAAAAAAGAAGTAGGCATAGTCAAGGGCAGAAAAAAATTTAAGGATTGCTGGCTTAAATACTAGAGGTAAAACTGGGTCATATTACCTGGACACGAGGTACTTGGGTATGTAACTTGTTGCTAAGAGGTATATTAAAGATAAGTACTTTTCGCTGCCTAATGGAGGCATTCTTCTGACCAGAGACACAACTGCAAGATGGGAAGACCTTCCTTCTAGTAATAGAAATAAGCACTTTTTCCATAATGCAGATATCAAAAGAAAAGGCCGGACAAAAGGGAGGCGGAATCATCCCTGCCATCCTGCTACAGCTAGAAATGACCTATCAAAAAAAAACTTGAATAAAAAAGTAGAAGAACAGACCCTGGAAGGAGAGGTCAAACCTGTATAGTTCCTCGGAGATGGCGGTTCAGAAGAGAAACAAGCTGATGATACTTAGGAGAAGTGAGTGGAGTGAAGAACTCAGCTGGAGACGACAGCGACATCAAACATCAGGAAGAAGTAACAGAAGACTCCATCATATTCCGTCAAAGAGATAAGTTCTAATATTCATTTAAATATCATCCTTGTAAACTTGTGTTGGTAATTAAATAAAATAGTATAAATACATATAGCGTTTCCATGAAAGTCCTTCATATATATTTTTTATGTTAAAATTATAAATAATTATTTTTTAAGATTAAATCTTGATTTATTAGCATATATCTCTGCATGCCACCCACCATTTAGACATAGAGATACAGATAGTAACTTGAAAACATGATACCTTTAGAAAAGATATTCGATAGAAACTAAAACTTCAATCTAGTATATTACAGCAGGTAGAGGGGAGGGGTCTGTGGCATTTAGCCTTTCAGTGCATAAGTAATGTATTTTCAAGTAGATCGGTTGCCTTCTGGAACATATAAATATTAAATACAGTAAATAGAAATAAATACATTTTCTAGAACCTCCTACCCACCTTAAAAAACAGGTGAGCCAGAAACGTAACAATGCTTACACTCATACATGGTACAATATTTCATATTTGTGGGGGAAAAAATGTTGATATTAAAGAAAATTTTAATATAATTTGATATACCATAATTAACATTTCCAACCAATTTATGTAAAATATGTTTGTCAAATGAACTTTTAAATTGTGATTCATGACTGGTTTGATATAAATTCAAATGTATAAAAACATAGATAAAATATACTGAATGTGGTTGTTGTATCAAATTGGTACAAAATTTAATATATTTATAATTTTCTTGAACTGCTTGGCCACATGATTTAGCTAACCAGTTAGTATAATAAATAATTTATTCAAATCCTCAGCAATATTTTCACATGATATTGGTCTCAGTTTATCAATTCTTTTGTTGTCATGGTGTCCATTCCTTTATATTCTATCAGGAATTCCTTCCTAATTTCTGGCCCATTATAGTTGTCTAATCTTTATATATTGTACAACATTTATTTCGAGAATAAATTATTAAGTTACTCTTTTTTCAGCTTCTTCATACATATTTTTATTTTTATCCATGAGAGGACTTCTAGAATGAATCTTTCAGATATTTCCCAGAAAACCCAGTTTAAAAATATTTAATTAATAATATCTGTTTGAGCTAATCTTCTTTTTATTGTGATAAATTTTTTTTTCTTAAAATTTATTTAGACAGTAATAACATCTGTTGACAGTTTTAATCTATCTCATTAAGTGCAATAAATACAAATTATACTCAGCTACTCATTAATACATAAACATATTTTAATTGTTCAGTTACTGCACTTTTTCACTTAACAAATATTGATAATTTAAATCAAAATACCAATTACCACACCATAAGTTTAATACTACTTTAATATGTACATACATATTGTGTTTTATCTCTTGATCATGCACTCAATTACATCCTATACGTTAATTACATCTACAGTTGACTAAAAAGCAAAGTGAAAATTGAAAACAGTCTATTTATTTTTAAAAAACTCAATTTCAAAATTCATAAATAAATTATAAAATCAGTAATAAATTATCAATAATCTTAAAATAAATATTTTTTCAATTAAAAATAATTTTTAAAAAAGTATTAAACCTACATTTACTTACAATTAAATCAAATTAAGCTTTTTTGATTTTTCCCATGCCTCAAAATATTTTTATTTCTGTTATTGCAGAATCATCATCGACTCAATGGAAAGGAAAATGCTATGGGCTTTTGAAAAAAATAAGATTCCTATCTCTTACTACAACTGAATTTGCTGAGGGTATATTAACAACAAAATTACTGACTGATAAACAAAAATTAGATATTTTGTTGAGGATAACTAAAGTTATGGAGACATCAATGGGTAATGGCCTTTGTGAATTGAGGCAGAAAAGGAGGCCTGTCAATATCAAATCAACTAAATTATTAGATATTCAGGTATCTTAATAGACAATTTAAAAAAAATTAATTTACATAAATAACTTAAAGCTCACTTTTATATTAATTACTTACATGTTAACTAATAAGATCCAGAGAGACAGACAAGGGCCTTTCAGTAATTGACATGCTGAAGCAGTAATTGAATTTCACAATCCTGTTAACTTCACATATAATGGAATCAGTACCTAGTGGGGCAATAAGTAAAGAAACCATGAATAAACTTAAACTTTTCCAACATTTTAGCATAAGCTTAAGAAGCATTGTCTTTTTGTCATAAAATATGGATAAGAAAGCAAAGAATAAAGAAAAGTGATTTGAGCATATAAAAGAGACATATAGTTCAGAGCAACCCTTCAGAAAGGCTCAACATGACAATGGAGGCCTTAATATTAGGCAAGGTATTACATGGAAGGTCAAAAAACCAAATGGATAAAAGAATCAACATAGATGCCTCAGAGATGCATGCAGAAATCGGAAAGGAATATCCTACAAGAAGCTGAGATAAAGAAGACTGGTCATGATGGCTAAATATCTAGAACAGACCTTCAATAAAACAGGAAGGAGGAAAAAAAAAGAAAAACAGATTACTTCATATAAAGCGAATGCGAATTAGTACCTCTGCAATTATATCCTCTCCGTATCAACTAAATATTAGATCATCAATATGATAAAGTGTTCTGTGTGCAACGAATGTTGATTTTGAAATTTCCTAAAATTGAAAAAAAAAATGTTTTTCATATACCAAAATTGTCATAAAACTTAAATTCTTCTTTTCAATAATAGGATTTAATAGCTCTTATTTTATTTTATTTTTTGAGTAAGAAGATGATCCAGGGTGGTAGTCATAAAAAGACTAATATAGTAAAAAACTATTTTATTTAAAGACAATGTTTCAACCCTTTGCAGGTCTTCTTCAGGGGGTTGTATGCAGAATGAATTTTCGGTAGAAACTGAAGATTTCAACTGAAACTCCAGATACAACCTCCTGAAGAAGACCTGCTAAGTGGTGTCGAAATATTGGCTTTAAATAAAATTGTTTTTTACTATTTTAGTCTTTTTATGACCGTCACTCCAGACCATCTTCTTACTCAAATATACACCACTATCTCAAAATATACCATGGTCAACCATCAAGTATTCAATATTTTATTTTTTGTTTTCCCTCACCTGTCAGTTATACACCAACTACTACATTTTAACCACCAGGCTCTAACATAAGAGAAAATTAAAAAGGTAAGAACAGTACCAAATGGAATCTGAACCTGTCGTGTTATTTTAAAATTGAAATATCTTTGTTTTACCATTTCATTAACTATCATGTAAGTATTCAAGAATATGAATTTAGAATGCTGTTTAAATAAGTCTAAATGTTTTTTATACTTTCATAGTATGGTTACTAATAATAATACTTGGTTTTAATTTGAATTACTCATTATTAGGAATTAAATTAATTGGTTTATAACAGGATGTAAGTGAAATAAGGTGTGATGGCAGTGAATGGTTAACATCATTGTTTAAAGTCAGTTCTCCAATGGACCTAATAGGAATTGAAGTAAGTATCTAAAGATATTCTCTCTTCAAAAATTCTTGAATATTCAAATTTGATTTGCAGGACTTATGATTAAAACATCCATATACTATAAGTGATGTGGAGCCTTATTGCTCTGCATAATAGAGAATTGATTAATGGGAGAGTGATAATGTCTAGGAAAACAACCTGGGTTGGCAAAATAGACCAAAAAGTCTAATAATTATTTATACATTCTAAGGAAAAGCCTAATCAAAATATAATAATAAGCAGTCATGGAATGTCCTGGGTACTTGAAGAGTTTTACTTCTGTGTAAATATTTCTTTTACCGTGTCTGTCATGACAATAAAATCAAGAGAGTAAATTCATATTATGAATAATCTTTATGATTATTCATAATTATATGAACTAAAGATATTATTCTTCCATAAAAGGTAGAAATAATTGGTGATCTAGATAATAAAAAAATAAATAAATAAATAAAAAAATAGCAAAGGTTTAACAGTAAAACTATTTTGCTAATTTAAAGCTCTGGTGAAAAGATCTTTTTTTTTAGCAGATCTAGGATTTTTATCTTTTTTAAGTTACTCTAAATATTCAATGAGTTAATATAGCCTCCATAAGAGATTAACTTTTTTTCTTTACTTTAAAAATATCCAAACATTGATTTGTTTCTCTATAAGAAAAATTCTACGCGTCTAAAATAAAGAAATAGTCGATAAGGGGGCCCTGGATTACAGGTTGGTTAAAGCAGAATCTCATAATTGAACAGCTATAACTTTAGTAAATTTAAATTCTTAATTATTATGATTTAATTGTCAGACTTACATTTCGAAAGAATTTCACTTTCCTAGTTTTTTTCACTTTATCATTTAAAGTGAAAGTAATTTAAGTATTCACAAAGTAATTTAAGGATTCACAAATGGACATCATCTACAAATTCCTTGTAAAATCTTTTTATGTTTAAGAACGAACTCTTCCACATGAAATTTTCAAACCACTTAATAAACTCCCAGTTTCATTAATGATTCTAGTCTTACAACCAATAAAATTAAATCAAACAAAAAATAACACTTCCACATCTTAATCAAAACTGAATGGTTAACAAATAGTAAAAATTAATTTTATTATACTAGGGGAAATAAATATTATTTATTGTTGGTTTTCATATAATTAATAATTTACCCAATCTGTACTATTAAATTCAGTTATATTTCAGATCAAAATGCAAAGAAGAGAAGAAGGTGGACAATATATAGAGAATATAATCGTTAAAGTTGCTGAAGCTCAATCCAAGTTCCATTTCGCTGAAGGAAATATTTATGGACCTGTACATTATAACAGTAAAGCACAAGTATATATCGCAACAACTATTACTTTTTTTTAACTGATAATAGAGTCGTCACAAGTATGAATAGATCCATCACAACAATTTGTTGTTTCAGATCTTGTTTAATACTGTGGCTAAACTGAAGCCTGGAAAGGATTATGCACTGCACGTTTTTTTATGTAAACCAGGCATGTATCCTATTGGGCGACATAATAAATCATTTGGTGAAAATAATGATCCTGAAATAATAGATTTCATATCTCATTCATCATGGCAAGGGGCCCATCCTTTTAATACAACTATTCTGTCATCTATCATCTATACAGATCCTGCTGAAGAAGATGATGAAGACACTAAAAATCATTTACAGATGAAATCCATTTAACCTATTGCAATTACATAAAAAAATTCTATTATGTATGAATATATTTTATTATTTTTATATACGTTTGAATATATTTTCAGTGTAAAATTTCTTTTTTCTTAATTAGACATAAAATTATTGGTCTTCCAACCCATTCCATCAGAAGGAAGCTCATTCTTAGTTTGATAATTTCACAATTTTGGAATTTAGAATTGTTTCAAGTTTCTATAAAAAATCCGGATTAAATAACTTCTATGACAGGTACTATATAAAATTTTCTCAATGAAATAATTGATTCCATCTCATGTTGAAATAATATTATCGCTTGATTAGTAGAGACATTAGAAAAGTTATAATATCAACATGTGTGGCTTCAATAGATACAATAATATCAAACATTAGCAGAGACTAACAACATCAGTTACAGCTATTTTTCTGGCTTTGCTTTAACTTTATTTTTTTATATATAAAGGTCCTCACATTGCATTTACAGTAGACGAGGAATGATTATGATGATGATCTATAAATTATATCCAACTCCTTTTAAGTATTGATTTTTTCCTTCGGCTTTCGATATATTGATTTTAGTAACTTTACTATCCATCAGATCTCACTTCTTATCTTCACTACTAGAAGAGCATTTCCACAGTTTATTGCAATAAGTCATAAAGTAACATTTTATAAAATTAAATCATTAAGTAACCTACTGACTTTTTTAGTGGAACTATTTTAGACATTTAATAGGGTTTGAGTTATTTTGATGCAGTCAATGAGTTTTTGCATCCATAAATGTTAGATTTAAATGCATCAAAACTGTACTTGGTGGGTTTTTTCATGATGATCAACAATCCATACGAATAGGTCAAATGCTGGTTGTACAACCATTTTTAACTTTTATAATATTTTGTAGGTCGATTCCTCCATTTTTCTAGAGATAATATAAGGCTGAGAAATATGACTTCCCTTGGCTGTTTATAAATAGCAGCCATTTTTCTTCAGTTCTACAGACCAATTTCAGTAAATGTAAGCATTTGCTGCTTTGTCGACAGTTAAAAAATTATATGACATAAAAATTAAACAAATACTAATGAAAGGTTATGCTTTGAACTGAAAAAAAATATACTTAGCACATTTAATTTATTTCTACTATGATAAAAATTTACGTTAAGTTTAATGCTCAAGTTTAAAAACATTCAGTTTTTAAACACTTTTTTTCTATTAGAAGGAATATTATCAACTACTTACCTCTTGTATGATGGGTAGATATCCAATAGTAGGTCGGTACAAATAAATATCATGTCTACTAAATATATCATTGGTTTTTTATGACTCCTATACCCTCAAATTTAAATGACCATAAAAATGTATTATTATAGTGTGAATAGCTTACATGAAATTTAGAAATTCTGTAAGTGATTAAGAAAACAAACCAACATAATTTTGCAAGATTTTCTGTGTAAATATATTACCATATGTTCATATAATGTAAATGTTAACATTTACGTTTCTAAAAAATAAAATATTTTTTCTTAAAATATATATCTCAACCTTACAGAAACGAAAAATAGTAAAGTACAATGTAAAATGGTTATATTTATAATACAGGAAAATATATAGCACGGGTTCGAAATATGACATTCATTCACTATAACCCAACAATCGGTGAAACACACTTTTTTAAATAAGTGCTTATCAAGAAATTATTACAAGACGAAAACCAATTGGAGTTTGTTTTTCTTCCAGAATAATTTCTGTTATTAAAAAAAGAAAAGGGCTCCTTCCAAAAATTAAATCCTGGATACACTAGTTAAGTTAGGTAAAAACATAATATAAATTTGAAAAGAACCACATGCTACCATGTGTTTCAAAATTTTCACCAAGAAAATTACTACTGATTGAAGGTGTACAATAGGCCTTCATGGCCGCGGTGCATCCATGTCACTCAAAAAAAAAAATCACTGATCGACACATTTATTTTATGAAAGCTACTAGGACCCTGATAATTGATTTAAATAATAATCGGCTGAATTCTGTAAATTATTTTAGGCTGATTAGATAAATATTCTACGTTTTTATGAAAATGTCTTTAAATCAGCAATTTTTTAGTATTTTCTCAGATTTTGAAGTCATTTGTCATTCTTATTCACTAAAAATAGTGAGAAAGTATACCAAGTCAATACTTAAGACCAAGTACTTCATCAATAACTTTTTCTAATCACTTCTAACTAGAGAATCTGCTGTTTTGTTCACTTTACTGAATATTTGGCTAATATGTTAAATACATATTTGCCAAACACTCTACAATTGTTTCAACAAATCCATTTATTAAAAGATACACCACTATAAGTTTCATCATATATTAAGATAAACAAAACAATTTTGAAGAATGAAGTGAGTAAATTCTTTTTAATAACCAATTATAAAATAATACTAAGCAATTTATTTCTGAAATTATATTTAAAATTTTCTTAAACAAGACTTTTAAAAACTAGGAACAGCAGGTTTTAGCTAACAATAGGATATTATAGATTACTACTATTTTTCCAAAAACAAATTTACTATAATATATATATATTTGAATTAATATAATAAATACATAAATAAATGAACTGTAAAAAAATCATATTTACATATTTAAAAAATGCTTAAATATAAATTAATCACATTTTCACTTTGGCTTCCACAAATGATGATAGTTCGGAAGAACTTTGGAAAGGAAATCCAATTGCAAAGTTTGAGGCTGCAACAAGCAAAAATATAAATCAGAACAAACTAAGAGAAACATAATTCAAAATGTATAATTGTTTTTGGACAGCCCAACCTCCACACATTTTTTTTAAATGATAAGAATCAAATTGATCAGTTTCCAATTAACAACAAGAGTTCATTATTTTGAACACCAAATTAAATCATTGTTAGACTGAAGGGATATTTTCCAGTGGGACAAACACTAATTAAGCAAATTGTTACTTTAACAGTTGTTATGAAGTGTATGACTTAATGCTGGTTCCCATATCGGTATACTAGTAACAACATAACAGTCAAAATCTCTTGTGATAACCCCATTATATTGTATATAATCTATTATCATATGTTAACCTTCACTATTAATGTAATTAATATTGTAACAGTTCATAACCTTTTTACCACCAGTCTTACTGTAATATTTTCGCTTAATAAAGCCTTAATTAAAAAGATTAGTTTCTTATCAGATTATACCATAATTTATTAAGCAAAAATATGAAAAAAGTTTCTAAATCCTGATCACCTAGATGTAGATCCACCTTTTTCTGATGCAGAAAAGGACAGTGTACCGCTAAGAATGCTATGCCACATGAGCGCATGTTCAATCATCCAACAAGATCCACAAGCAGTACATCATTCTCGGCATGGCTCCTGAACTCCGGACCAGTTCTCTTAAGGAAATTCCAGCAGCACAGTAAGTACAACACGCTCGTTGAAAAAGTGGACTTGATAGCAGCTAATCTAGACGCAGTAAGACGGTTCACAGAAACCAAGGAAAACAAGTGGAGTATGCAAGTTTAGTTTGAATGGGAAGGTATATGTGATGGATTTTAGGTCTCCCAGAAGATACTGGAAGAAAGAAATTATTCAAGAAATACTTAGATCAAGGCAATTTCATGTGTTTATGCCAGAATTGGACGGTTATTGGATCAGGAATGCAGATCAGCTACGCGGGAGGAGTGATGAGGTAATTTTAGAAGATGAAGGCAACACCGGCGGACTACAGACTCCCAACATTCCAAACAATGGACAGACAACATCTGATGTCTCTGCTGCTCAGCAACCACTAGATAATATTCCGGTTCCTTACAAGTCGCCTCAGCCTGTTAGGGAACGCTGTTCACCCAGACATCTTATTGAAGAAATTTGAATTATGTTACTTTTATTCATGTGTTTATATTTATCAATTATGTTACTTTTTTTTTGGAGAAGGAAAGTTGTAGTGTATTATCGAATTTACATTTAGTAAACACTATTCGATTATCTTTTTGTAATGAGGTTTACTTGGTAACCATAAATAAAACATGTTCATTCTTTATTATGGTGTGCTTATGTATGTAAAGATTGCAAGATATATGTGTTATTTGAGTTATGATATTTCTATAATACATTATAATTAGTAAGTCTAACTACAGAAAACATGAAGTGATTCAAAACATATGCATGAGAACCATTAACAATTACCCACGATACCCAAAGATATCCACTATTTTAACAGAATTGCAGCTACCAATTCATAAAACAATACATTTACTTTAAAACACAAAGATTCTTCAGTCGTGCTTCAGCTGTCGTCGGGTTCACATCGCGGATGGTGCTTTTTGAAGTTGCGGCATCTCTGAAGTTAGGATTAACTATAGCTCCTTGTGTAGCAGCCGCCGCCTCGTGTCTGGTTTCCAGGGACAGATAAGCTTGCTATTTTTCCTACCTACTTTACAAATATTTCTTAACTTACTTATTCAATAATCTTATTAATTGTTTATTTAAATCATTTCATTTCCGTAATATTCTTAGTTTAGTGATTTATATTCTATATTATATAATTACATATTTTTATATTTTTTAAATTTACCTATTAGTATTAAGTTAGCTTGTAATAGTTAATTGAAATGTAGTTTAGGGTTATTTAATTTATACTAATCTAAAACTAATACTTCTCCTCTACTATCATTTTATAAACATTTTTATTCTATATATCCTTTATTAATTTTCTGTCTTTCTTATATTGTAATATGGAGGTACCTCCTGGTCCTCCCGATCTATCTACCGTCCTAACCAAAAAGAGAAAATGGGCTCGCCCTAAAATTAAATTCCCTCCGGACAAAATCATTCCGCAAATCACAGATACAACTCCAACATATCTTGTTGCTAAACGATCCGATCAAGAAGACTTTAAAAAAACCTCTCCATTTTTTATTCAAAAGGTGATCGCTCAGTTAGCAGGTGATGTTAAAGCAGTAAAAAAGTTAAGAGACGGTTGTCTATTGATACAAACACTCAATGGACAACAATCAAACAGACTTTTATCCGTTACAGACTTTGGAGGCCAAATGAAAGTTGAAATAACACCGCATAAAACTTTGAACTATAGTAAGGGCGTTATCCGTTGCTATGACTTCCAATACATGGACATACAGGAAATAAAGAACGAATTAACTCCGATAATAAAAGATATTGTCAGGATAAAATCAAAACGGAATGGTAATGAAATACTTACACATAACTATATAGTTACCTTTCCAACACCTTTACCTCCAGAAACATTACAAATTGGATACGAAACAGTTAGAGTACAGCCTTACGTACCGAATCCGTTACGATGTTTTAACTGCCTAGGATTCTCTCATCCGACATCACAATGCAAAAAAGAATCAGTATGCGTACAATGCGGCCAGGGAAGACATGGAGAAAATATAAGGTGTAATATGCCGGCTAAATGCATAAATTGCAATGGTCCTCATAATGCCCTAGACCGGTCATGTACCGAGTTTAAAATACAAAAGGAAATAAAAGCCATACAAATCAATAATAAAATATCACTTTACGAAGCAAAAAACATGTATAGAGAAAAAAATCCCATCCAGTTAAATAAAACATTCGCGGAAATAGCAAAAAATCAAAATAATACAAACAGAAAAGTAGATGTTGCCACTCAGGCTAATATTCTGTACTCTTTCTCAGTTACTTCAACAAACTCACAGATAAATAAACCCAATGAGATTATCTCTCCTGATGTCCAGGCCACACCAGCTATCTCTGATCGAGAGACTGCTCGACCACAGTCAACCGAAGTTGGCAGCCCCGCGCCTACCCAGACTGCTCCCCTCCTCCCCTCCTCTTCTTCCCACTCATCTACCCTCCCTGCCTCTACTTCCTCTCTCTCCTCTAATCTCTCCTCCTCCTCTTCGTCTTTCCCTTCTGCTCCTCTCCCCAACTCTTCCTCCCTCTCTTCTCCTACCCTCTCCACCTCCCTTCCAAATCTCCAATCCCCCAATCCCGATCTCGCTACACCACCAGACGATAAATCTGCTGAAAATGCTGTAGATGGGGAAGGATATACCCTACAAAAGAAAAAAGGAAGACCCCGAAAAAAATCCCCAAATAAAACAAATAATAAATAAAATAGCCGACAACTAAATTACAAATATCATCTTCAAATATGTTAATATATGTTTTTTCCATTCTATACCGTAACTAAATCATGACCCTAATCCAGTGGAATTGCAATGGTATTAAAAGTCACTTCAACGATTTGAAGCTAATAATGGAAGATGAAGATCCTTTTTGTATATGCCTCCAAGAAACGCACCTAAAGCCTTCAAACCAATTCACCCTTAAAGGCTTCAATATCTATAGGACAGATTGTGATCCAGATTACGAGCGAGCGTGTAGAGGCGTAGCCATAGCCGTAAAAGATACCGTTTATTCCCACCCAGTAGAAATAGATTCCCCACTTCAAGTAATAGCTGTTACAGTTCATTTAAACACAACATTCACAATTTGCAACATTTATCTCCCCCAAGACAATACTATAGAGACAGAACACCTTCTCCATATTCATAGGCAGTTGACAAAGCCAATTTTGTACACTGGAGATTTCAATGGCCACAACCCATTATGGGGCTCACAAGACACAAATCCTAGAGGTCGCATTATAGAAACTTTCTTAGATTTAACGAATACTCTGTTACTAAACTCCGGCGAAGCAACATACGTAAGTTCTAGCTTTGGTACATTTTCATCCATTGATCTCTCTTTATGCACTTACTCACTGATTGATAATATAGAATGGACAGTTCTACCAGAGCCTTATGGAAGTGACCATTTCCCAATTCGTCTAAAATTCAGAAGTGCAAACTGCAATAATTACAGCGTCCCTCGTTGGCTATTAGAAAAAGCAGATTGGTCACTATTCACGTCTTTAGCTGTCCCACCTCAAAATCACCCTAACAGTATGAATGTAGATGATGGGTGTAAATCTATAACTGAGACAATAGTTACGGCAGCAGAGTTCTCAATCCCTAAAACCAAAGGCCATTACAAAAGGACACCTGTCCCCTGGTTCGATAGTGATTGCAAGAAAGCCATACAACTTCGGAGAAATGCATTTAAGACATTTAAGAAAAATATGAATCAGGTTAATCACATTGAATATAAAAAACAAAGAGCTGTTTGCAGAAGAATTATAAATGACAAGAAAAAAGAATCATGGAAATCATTTGTTGAGTCCATTAACTCGTCTACCCCCTGCAACGTTGTATGGAACAAAATAAGGAAGATAAGAGGAACCAATTCTTCCTACAAATATACTCTGATATGCGATGGAAAACTATGCGATAACCCAGACATTGTTGGAAGAACATTTGCCGAATATTACTCAGAAGTTTACACAACGACTTCTAGAAATAATATGGCTCAAGATCTAAACTTCTCTGACGATAATGCATATCAAGATTACAACATTCCATTCAGCATGTGGGAACTCCAATCAATACTCCAAACTGTCAAAGGATCTTCACCAGGACCAGATAATGTACACTACTCCATGATACAACATCTTCCGAAAAATACACTGAACTGGCTTTTAAATTTTTACAATCATATTTGGCTTAGCGGTAACTTTCCTAGCAGCTGGAACGACTCTATAGTTGTCCCAATATTGAAGGGTAGTCAAGATAAACGTCATCCATCCAGCTACCGACCAATATTTTTAACCAGCTGTCTATGCAAAGTAATGGAACGAATGGTAAACAAGAGACTCACATGGATCCTAGAAAAATATCATCTCATCCAAAACTTCCAATGTGGTTTTCGCAAAGGCAGATCAACTGTAGACCACCTGGTTCAAATGGAAGCCGAATTACAGTATGCATTCATCCAAGAGGAGCAAGCTATTGCAGTTTACTTCGATATGAAAAAAGCCTTCGATAAAACTGACAAATTTGCTATCCTAAACAAAATACACTCGCTAGGATTCAGAGGTAACTTACCAAAATTTATTCAAGGATTCCTTTCTAGTCGCCGCTTTCGCGTCCGTATAGGGAAACTGTTATCCAAGCAATGTAGACAAGTGAGTGGAGTACCACAAGGATGCGTTTTAAGTACAACACTTTTCGCACTGGCGGTTAGTGACTTGGGAAAAAATCTTCCACGCGGAATCAAAGTAATGCTCTTTGTCGACGATCTTGCTATTCTATACAGAGCGAAAGATGTCCTATCTGTAAAAGATAAGCTCCAAGAAGCACTGAATCGTATTGATGGCTGGTCGAAATCATCGGGACTTTGTTTCTCTTCTGAAAAAACTAAATGTATTCACTATAGCAGAAAACGAAATACTCCACAATCGCCAGAACTTCTCTTAGGTGACGCCATCTTACCATATGTCAACACCTGCAGATTCTTGGGATTATTATTTGATAAACGTCTATCCTGGGAACACCACATAAAATCACTCAAAGATACATGTACTAAAAAACTTCAGCTTCTGAGAATACTTAGTGGAACTAACTGGGGAGCAGACAGAACTACCATGATTAAAGTATACCAAGCTCTGATCGGCGCAAAAATAGATTATGGTAGTTTTGTCTACGGTTCTGCCCGAAAAAATGCTCTAGCCAAGCTCGACTCCGTGCACCACACTGGAATACGCCTTGCAACTGGAGCCTTTAGAACAAGCCCAACCCTGAGCATTTGTGTCGAATCTGGCCTTATACCACTGCACTTTAGAAGACAGAAACTTGCAATAAACTATATTACTAAATTATACCCGCAAACTTCACACCCCTCCCATAAATATGTTTTTCAATCTAAATTCTCAAAAAGATTTAAAGAAAAAAGGAATACCACATTACCATTGGCAGAAAGAATGTCTCTTATTATAAATAAACTAAAACAAATAACATTACATGAAATAGAAAAAGAAACAGCCCCTTGGACCTATATACAACCTAAATTAAATCTCCAACTCACCCAATTCACCAAAGATACTACATTACCTGCAGATTACAAAGAAAAATTCCAAAAAATAATCATCACGTTACCTGAACATCTTCTAATATTCACCGACGGATCCAAATCAGATACATCTACTGCTTCAGCCTTTGTCACTCCTGATACTACCTACAAATATAAATTACACCATCTTTGTAGTGTTTACACAGCAGAGATTAACGCCGTAGCAATGAGTCTCCGATACGTCATGAAGAAGCCAGTTGCAAATGTGGTTGTTGTATCGGATTCCCTAAGTACCCTGAAAGCTATGAATAACATGTATCCAGACCATCCAGGGATACACTGCATTCTAAGTCTTATAAAAATGCTTCATGGAGTTGGAACAACGGCATATTTTATCTGGTCGCCTGGCCATATAGGAATTAAAGGAAATGAAATGGCTGATAGAGCAGCAAAGGAAGCTCTTACTCTTCCAGGCCGCGGTAAAGTTTTTTTGACACCATCTGAACTTGCACGACCTCTGAGAGAAACCATATTCCAAGAATGGCAAAGACGGTGGGACATCAGCGCACCTAGCAAATTAAAAACAATAAAGAAAGAGGTGCAACCGTGGACCAGCTCCAGACGCAGCAGTCGTAGAGAAGAGGTCGTCCTCACGCGGCTGAGGATCGGACATACTAGACTGACTCACCTCCACCTCATAACAAAAGATTCTATCCCCCGATGTCAAAAGTGTAACCAATCACTAACTGTAAAACATATTTTGGAAGAATGCCCTTTTTACACCGCAAGATTAAAAGATTTTGGAATACCCCAGAATATATCAGCATCCCTGGGAAATCAAGAAGAAATGGTTACCAAAGTCATCAAGTTTATGGATAGTGAAAGACTTAAAAAACACATTTGACAGGCTTTTATTTATTTATTTATTTTTATTATTTTTTTCTTAATTTATTTATTTATTTTTATTTATTTTTTTATTTATTTATTTATTTTATTGATTCTACTGCTATTTTTTAAAGTTTATTTATTTATACATTTTTTATACATCTTATTACCTATAAATGTCTATTATTATCCTTATTTATTTATTTTATTCTATCAATCCATTTCTTTATTTATTTTATTTTATTTTATTTATTTTTTTTATTTATTTTATTTTATTTTATTTTATTTTATTTTTTTGTACCAATCATCCAAATAGTATTAAATGATGTTATTTAGTTGATCGGGCGCTTATGACCTGGATGTTTTGCGCCTAGACATCGAAACAAACAAACAAACAAAGATTCTTTGAGTTTACAATAGTATCTGATAACCCCATGATTCAAACCATAGGAAACTATGACAAGAAATCAGTGAAATAGTACATACACAAACAGACAAAACACATTCTCCTCACATGACAAAACCTATACCACTACAACCCAAGAAGGGTGTTGGGTGCATTACAATGTGAGGAAATATTGTTACAAGGCCAATGGTTGTGCAGGGAGGTGATTGGGTAGTTATCACGCTCAACCACCAGGTTCTCCACCTTAATTATTTATTTAATTAAGAGGACCCACTTTACAGAGGCTGAGTGTGCCCTGGGAGGGTCTCTGGGCCCCAGGGTCGAAAAATTACTAGTCATCAGCCGGATTCGAACCTGGGACCTTGAAGCTCTGGAAGTTAGTGCTCACCCGAGCGAGCTATCCCGCTCCCCTATCATGACAAAACCTTTACTTTATTTTTCAGATTTAGAGCAATATACGCAGCCAAATTATGCATCCCTTAAGAATATAACAAATTATGTTAATCTTATATAAATATCTCTCAAGTTTTTGGAAATAGTAATTTACTGAGTGCTTTGAGAACAAGAAAATTACAAGCACTGCCAACACTTGATATAGCTACTATCTCTTCAATTTTAGATACTACAGATTACATATTATAGTCATAAAAAGAAAAAATCAAATGATATATTTCAAACATAATTATAGAAAACATAAAGTATATCTGTTAATCGCTTATTAATTTGTTTATAAAAAAATTACCGGTGGTTTTTCAGGAGCAATGGCACGGTGGTATTCACTTCCTGTAATAACAATATTATCTCTAAGCTTCTCTTTGACACTGAGAGAAACACCGGCACCAATAATACAACCGTTTCCTACTTCAATATCAGGTCCAATGTAGCCTAAAACATAAATGTTTGTTAAGTTTCATTTTGTTCTTAAATTTGGATACTTCATCATCATTCATTAAGTTACATTTGGATTCAAATACGTTATTGTCACCAACTGATTTAGCATGAATAACACATCCAACTTCAAAAACATTGTTTGAACCTATCACCATTGTCTTTGGACGATCAGTTCCAATATCAGACCTAAATAAAACATAGAAACAGTTACTTATACTTTTAAGTAGGTACATAACGTTAAGCAGTAATACCCAAACTAATACAACATTATTGAACAGAATAAACTATTTTGATTGACAAAATAAATGTTGATGTAACATAACTTCAAAAATACTTAAATTCATGTAGGTACTATCTCATAGATGCTATGATTTGGGGTCTGAATTTTATAATTTTTGACCTAAAAATAGCAAATGTACCTGTGGTGAATCACTGATTGTTCTTCAAAAATATTGCTTTCACCAATTACGATAGGGCCAGCATCTCCAACAATAGAAGCCTTTGGATGGACCAATGTCTTAGCTCCAATAGATATCATGCCTTGGAGTTTTGATTCCACACATACAACAGCACCTTTTGATATTTGAATGCTGAAATAAAAATAAAATCTCAATTGAGGGAGAGGATAGATGATAATAATTGAGGACAGGCTATTTTCTATTTCTTACTCCTTCCTTGTAAGAGATCCTGACATTCTGTTAGTATTATATTTCAAATTAACTACTCGTTCACAAATATTTACACCATTGAATCATTCATATACAATTATACTTAAATTGTATTAGTTCCTTTAAACAATCTATTTCTTCTCAATATACTCAAGACTGTTCGTTCCATTGAAGTATGGTCAAAATGATAAACTATCGATTTGTGCTTTTTTCAAGTACTTATTAACTTTTATATCAGCGACGTATGTCTTACCCAGAGGAAATCAATTTAATTTTATCACAATAATACCTAAATCATCAAATAAGCCGTAAGGCTCTGTTCAGATAAGATGGGCAAAAGCGCACTAGAGAGACATATTGGATCCGGATTTCTAACAATCAGATAACAGACGACCTCACACAGTGGGATAAAACGTCAAAAATGTGATTGGAATTATTCTAATTAACTTTTCGAACTTTGTAGCATTGAAATAGATTTTTTTTTTAATTCTAAAAGTTGGAAAAGAGGAACACCATTGACCGGAGAAAGTGGGAATTATTTGGTACAGTGGAATACCATTTACCGTAGAGGAGGGGAAGATTCTTGAATACAAAATTGGTTCATTAAGCTTAAGCAATGGTTCAAATTGGTTGTTACGATAATTAATTGTACATAATGACAATCAGGTGCAGGTGACATAGTATTTAGCTAAAATAAAGTTGTTAATTTGGTTCTAAAGGCGTATTTTTGAGAATGAATAATTTGATGGTGTATTTGACGTTTAATTTATGACTTCAATAGTAACACAGTTCTTATTAAAAACATCATTTTCGTGTTGTTTATTATCATTAAGTCTAAACAATGGTGGTCGAATTCTAACAAATGATCAACAATGCGAACTTTGCTAAGCAGTTCTCGATTATCAGTTTCTTAACAATTATTCGTTATTATTAAAGTTTTACAATACAAAATCAATAAAAAATAATATAAACCTCATAGCTTGGCGAAATAGCTACATGCCCGCCTAAAATCGTATATTCTCTTCCCGTTCTCTTGTTTCTCGTGTTTCCCTAGCGGGTTCCTTAGCTTGTCGTGCATTCTTTCCAAAAATAGGACCTTTTTTAAAAAGCACGCAAATTTTTAAAACTCGGGACTGTCCCAGTAAATTTCTTACGTCGCGTACCAGAGACCGAGAGTCAAGCGGAGATGTGATGTTCTTGTCAGCCACCAACATAATAATATAAAGAAGCAACTATACGCTCTTACAGAAATGAACAATTATTGATTTTTTTTCTCGAAGTTCATTGCTTATACACAGAAGGCTCAACAAGATTCTTGGATACTTCAGCATTTAATGCGTCAGAAAATGAAGCACTAATAGTAGATCTCACAATTAGGTTCAAAACTAACGATTGAGATCAAGACCTCAAGTTGCGGACAGAGAAAGATGAAGTCCATACAAAATGGACTTCTTTCTTTCTTACAGCTTACAACGTAGAAAGAAAAACATAGAAATGAATTCGGAATTTTCAGTTAAAGGGCAATGGCTCGGGAATAGGGTAGATTCTCCTACTAGCAATTTCTGGGGCTCTTGTCCAAAGAAAGCTACTGGCTACCATATAATGGCAGAATATATTATTTTATATTCATGGAGTACCCTCACCATTACATATTAGTAGTTGCTTTCGCTATGTAGACCATTACCGAAAATATCTCAAAATTTGATATATATTACAATATTTCCTCCTTACTCACTTTTGTTTTTTAATATCTCTTGGAATGATGATTATCAGTATCACTATGATTTAGCAACTCAACACAGTTAAGCAGCTTAGCAATTTTATTGTAATTATCTCTTCTACTCATCATTTGATGGTTAATTAATGACAAATCTTGGTTCTATTATTCCACTGAGGTTTAACTTTCTTCTTTCCGAATTCTTAAAGAAAGTATAATTTGATAACTTTAAGTTGTAATGTTTGAATCTGTCAATGTCTCTGTCACCAATGACTCCTAGTTCTGGAGAGGAAAAAAGTGATGTAAATGGAAAAAATAAAATTTAACATTCTATCTAGGTCAAATTTAATTTAAAGATCGATTATTAAGAACTGTTAGTGGAACATGAATACTAGGAATAACCAGGTATACAGTTTGACAGTATTCTGTCAGTTATAAAGATCTGTACATAAACAATTATTATTATTTATAATTATAATAAATAGTTTGAGATTTCTTGATTGTTAATTTTTTTCATTTAAACCTTGCCTTCTAAGGTGTTTCAGATTGAAGTAGTATCACTGTTTTGATTAAATTAAAAATTTTTTGAAAAAAATCTTCCTGTAATAAAAAGTTTTTTCCACATTTTATGTTCAGTCTTTTAATTTTAAATTACCCTGTATTTGATGACTTATGCTCCATTGTTTATTTAATAACAACAAATTATTAGTAGATTAGGTCAACTACAACTACACCTTGATTCTTATACTTAGTATTAATTGATAGATAAAATCTATGTAATATATTTGGAAGCTATGTATATATTTGCTGTATATTTTACTCGTTAGTATGTACTTTTCCAGACATGAGTTTCGGTTTGAAGTCACTTCGGTTTGAAGCTCACTTACCATTATTATTTCACCAAAGAAATCACAAACTTCTTAAATTGTTTGTTGCTTCAGATAGAAGAATGTCTGAGAAATCAAAAGCAAAAGTATTTGTTAGCAGGGATGATTTTCCTGCCGAAGGAATGAATTTATTAAAAGAAAGGCACAGTATTTTTTTATTATATATAATTATAACTTTATATATTTTTAAATAATAGTGGAATTAGAAATACAATTTACTAAAATATGACTCATTAGACATCAATGTAGTAGGTAATTTGAAACAATGTTTTTTTTTTTGTAATAAATGTATATAACTTATCTTTATCTCATTAAAATTTATGTTTATGCAAACTTGTATATTATACCATTTTTTAACTGTTGAAAATGGCTTATATAGTGAAATTTCTTGTTAGAATGATTTGTTAATAAGGAAATAAAGATTGTGGGATTAATGAAGTATTTTTTGCAAATAACATTAACTCTATATTGATTAAATATAGTAATAATAATTATATTATATTCAATATTTTATAGCATGTTGTAATTCTGTATAGTTTAGTAAAGAAATTTACTATACTGTTGACTGTTAGTATGTAAACATAATGCGATTTTTTGACATTTATTCTTATAATTTGTAGATGTGATCTTGAAATTTGGCCCCTTAAAAAGGGGCTCTTATCCAGGGATGAATTAGTAAAACAGATCAAAGTAAAAGATGCTTTTTATATCGCACTTGGTGACAAAATTGATAAAGAGCTTTTGAAATCAGCAGGTAAATAACACTAGTGTTTTTGTTTATACCTATTTGTTTTGAAACTTCCTCGGTTATCTCAAGCCAAAGAAAAATGTTAATTGCCACAGCATTTACATAATTTTTCTAAATCATCGAAATGTTTTATTAAATTGTTGAGGTACGCAATTGTTATTTCATATTAGAGATATAAAGAAAATAATATTCTTCATATAGGCTCAAATGAAATCATCTGTAATAATAGAGGGAGTAAATGATTAATGATTCCAAGCATCTTAGAATATTGTTATATCATTAGTTGAATGTTATTATTTTCAATTATAACTTCTGCTTGCTATGATCATTAAAAATGTAAAAGTGAAAAATAATAAAAAATTAATAAATAAAACTTTTTTTCACACTGGTTTAAAGTAATTTGTGATGTGATAAAACTTTTAATTCCACATCAAATTTTGATGTATTTTTTTTAAATGTTAGGAAAGAGGTTTTGTTTGTGAAATTGTTTCAAAATTTAAATTCCACTTAACTTTGTTGAAAACCCGTATTTATTTTATTTATGAAAAATTCAGATCCACATACACTTTGAAACCTTAAATAACACAAATAAAAAATAATGAAATTAAAAATCAAACTAGAAGTTCATTGATTTTTTTTGTTAGGTAAAAATTTTAAAGTTATTTCTACTATGTCTGTTGGACTGGATCATATTGACGTAGCAGCTGCAAAGGAAGCAAAGATTCGGATAGGCTACACACCTGACGTACTTACAGAAGCTACTGCTGAATTAACTATTGGTCTATTAATAGCTACTTCTAGGCGTCTATTTGAGGCAAATAAAGCTCTCAGATGGTAAGAAATAATATTTTAATGTTAGAGTTTATTATTGCATTGCTTTATTACCCGGACATGGATAATATCTGCAACATTATTATTTTATTCATCTTCGTTTTAAGAGAAAGAGGCTTGTTATTTCTTCATAAGGAACATTGGTACTAATAAGTTTATGGGATTTCCCTAGATTTAATTATTGTAATTTAAATTTAATATTTATAGAAAACCAATATTTTTTTCTCATCTCCAAAAAAAATTATGAAAGAAAAATTTCATCTACAACAAAAAGAAAAATATTTAGTATTTTCATATCTCAAAGTATATTAGACATAGAAATCAGTTACTAATAGAAGGAAAAATAATGTTTGAAATGTTTTTGTTATGAAATTGTGTCTTACTCATATCTTTATAAATAGAGAAACTTAATAATTACTACTTGATCAGGGTTAAGGATTATTATTAGGGAGTGGGGTTAGGGTACTGACTTTCAGTTCTCAAGGTCCCAGATTCGAATCTAACTGATGATAGATAAATTATTTGTTCTGTTTCATTGGCCCTGGAACGATCTGGGTGTCGGGTGAGACCTTCCTGGAGCACACCCAGCCTCTATAAAGTTGGGACTCATAATTAAGGGGAAAACCTGACGGTTGAGCATGATCTCGGTCAAATCAACTCCTTGCACAACTGTTAACCAAAAAACAGTACTTCCTTGAACCCAAGACCCTTCGTGGGTTGTAGTGATACAGGTTTTTTTTTTAAGGATTATTATTATTTTCCTTTTCAGTGGTGATTGGAAATCATGGTCACCTCTATGGATGTGCGGCCCTGGTTTAGAAGGCAGTACTATTGGAATATTTGGCTTTGGTAGAATTGGACAATCAGTTGCTAAAAAATTGCTGGCATTCAGGGTTTCCCGCATACTCTATTGTGGAAGAAAAAAAAAAGAAGGTATTTTATCTGAATACAAGTATTTTTTAACCTCATAACAGCACCAAATTTTGGCCAAGTGAAAGGAATTCAATAAAATAGATACAGCATCATTATTTTACCAACACCTAACTTTCAGCCAAATCGAACTAGCTGTTTCTGATAAATTGGCATATCTAAGAAAATACAATTACGCATATGTAAGAGAAAGTATGGCATGAAATTGATATGGGACCATCTCACATAATCTCTGAAAATTTCATGATAAGCGGCTAGTATAATATAGGATAATGGTAGTAAGCGATATGCCTATCACATAGATTTGATTACAGACAGAAACTACCAAATTCGATCCATGATGTCAGAAACATAAAAGATGAGTGGAAATTTTTTATTCTGAGCACAAAATATTTTTTAACCTCCCTCACTAATACAAAACTTTCCTACCTTTGATAGCTAGGAAGCAATATTTTAAATCAAGCCTTATATATATATTGTTATAGTCCACAGATAACTTGATTTTCTTTCAGGCAATGAAATAGGAGCTATTCACACTGATTTCGATTGCCTTCTGAAAGAAAGCGACTTTGTTATTGTGAATTGTTCTTTAACTCCTGAAACAAAATGTGTATTTAATAAAGACAAATTTTCCCTGATGAAACCTACATCCATCTTTGTTAATACTGCAAGAGGAGGTAAGTATTCACAAGGACTATGTAGAATCTATATTCGTTTCTTTTTTTTATGATCTTTCCTTTCATTTTTTTATTATGTAGGTGTTGTTGATCAAGAAGCCCTTCTTGAAGCTTTGCAGAATAAAGTGATTGCTGGTGCAGGTTTAGATTGTATGAACCCTGAACCAATTCCTACTGATCATCCTCTTACAAAATTGGATAATTGTGGTAAAATAATTATAACAGTAATAATTAAACCTAAACTAAGTACATTTTCGTGAATTTCAATCGTATTTATTTGTTAAAAGTAACCATAAGTGCTTCAAAATAATAAAAACAGTATTAATGTTACTCATTATTATTATTTTACTGAGGAAAAATTCATCAAAGTACTAAGGGATGAAATTTCATGAATTGTTACTTAATGAATTTTTGCACTAAATGGCTGATATATTGGGCATATGATGGTTTACCATTTATTAAATAGTGCAGTCATTATCAGCTTAAACTCGGACTTAGAAATATTTTGGAAAAAAACTTTCTAAAATTTAAGATAAAATACGCTTCAGTTTCAAATATATATATATATATATATATATATATATATATATATATAAAAAATCATAGGCACTGACTTTCCATTTTGATTGGGAAGACAATGGACAAAAAAAAAAATGGTGGGAGTTTATATTATTTGTAAAAAGATAAATATATAAAATCAACATAATTATTTTTTATTTTTTTTTTTTTTATACATATGGGTATATTTGAAACAATAAAAGTAAAACATCTACAATTGAATTAGGTAAGATCTTAATGTACTAATAACCAGATTGACGCAACACTGGTGTATAAGACATCCAAAACATAAGATGCTGTCATGGGGCCATGTCTGATTTGAACCAAATTCTGACTAGAATCAAAGTCTAACAGAGAATGAAAAAAATGAACAAAATAGTGGATCAATTGGAAAGAAAGAGTATTATGTATGAAACAAAATTCAAAAATGAGCTGAAGAACAAAATTGAACCCTTAATCTCTGCCAAAGGGCCTCGTATTTGATAAACATTTCGAAGTGTTAGATATAGAGCTAAAACAGTTAAGAAAATAATATTTATTCAGGAAAAACAAATAACCGGGAAGTGTTTCATAGAAAAGCCAGAGCATAAAACAAGAAAAATGAATGCCTGCCTAGCAGAAACTGAGCACGCTACTCTGGACAAATAACAGCTGCCAGGAAAAAGTCAAAAAAAGAATTTCTCAAAGAAATACTGTAAACCATTAGAAACAGCTGATAGGCTGCAAATGTATGCAAAATCTACAAGAAAGTAGATGTAAAATGGGAATGAGAGAAATTATCATAAACTGATGGCATCAAAGGATGAGATATTAATCATTTGTAAAAATCGTATGTTGCAGCTCCTCATTTAAGAGTAACCTACAAACACAGAAGATATTGACCATGCTGAGGACCTCTATACACAAGAGGTTAATATTCTGGATAGCTACAGGCTTAAAAGAAAGGCCCTGGGAGGGATAGCCTACCTTCAGAGCTGTTTATAGATGGGAAAGAACGCCTAATATCCAAGCTATTACGACTAATAATATACCTTGCAACCACACCTGTCCCATCCGTTTGTCTTGTCCTCTCTTCCTCACGTGCTCTCTTGGATACCATTCCATAAACTGCCTGTTCCATTTTATATCATTTCTCCGGATAACATTTCTGTCCAGGTCCTCTTCCTTGTGTGCTCCTTTTCCACAATATCTGGGAGGTCAATCATTGCTCTGATCCATTTATTAGATTTTCGAACATGTCTTGATTTTCCAAAAAGGTATTGCTCCATTCCTCTGACTGTCACTCTCAATTTGTGGCTAGTCTTCTAGTCCTTATAATTGATGACCTACTTATCAATGCACTACCTATCATATATGTATATATATATATATATATATATATATATATATATATATATATATATATATATATATATATATATATACATACATATATATATAACTTACGAACGTCCTGAAGATAAATAATAAACTTGTTTAAACTCTCTCTCATTGCCGTCCTTTCTCTTCTACCAAACTCTCCTCCTCTTTTCCTCCACATTTCCGGCCTTGCTCTGATCCTACCAGTTTCAGTTCTTCTGTACGTCACCTTATTCCATCCGTTCTCAGACACTTCGCCCCTTAGCTTCCTCATCTCGAGCACTAGCATCTATCAACAAAGCATCATTCCACAAAATTCTTCTCCCGAGGGATTCTATCTTTCTTTTCCATGCCTCTTGCTAATCGTACTTTTAGTATGACTGCCCGGAAAGCCATATTCCAGCCATACTGGACTCAGCTTCTGCTGCATTCACTACTTCCCTCGTCTTCTCTTCTGCTGAAAAGAGCTAAAAGGTTACCCGCATACTGTCCAATTGTATGATGAGGTTGCTTCTTTTCTTGAAACTTCTGCTGGATGTCTTTTTCCGGAGCATATCGGTCCCTTCCAAATGCCTTCTTCAGTTTATCCTTCACAACCCCCCATGGGGTATCTTCGTCAGTCTGGAACTTCTTTAAGACTCTTCTCTTAACTCATCATACCAGGGCTGCTCTCAATGCGTTAGCATCCATCGGATCTATCAGATTTTCCTCCTCCTTCACTAGTATACGTGACATCACACGATCATCACCCTTAAGAAAGTGATTTAACTCACTGATTCCGCAGTCGAACCTCTCAAGATCAGATATTGCTTTCCTTAGATCCTGCGAAGTTGCGGTTCTCACGTTAAGCCATCCTAGAGTATTCGCGTGCGTCACTGCTAACGTTTCTGTTGACAATTAGAAAATCTCCGCTGCTAAAACTTCCGACGACAGCTGGGGAACCTCCAGTGGGGGAGTCAATGGTGTGACCAGTGATTCAGTTAGAACTGATGGATTTACTATTCCTTCCGGCATCCTTTCCTCTTATTATTACTGATGATGTAAAAAAAAAAAAACGACTTTAAAACCTGAATATGAAGGCCATTGTTTCGGCATCACTTACGATTGTCCGAAAGATAAATAATAAAATGGAAAAAGAGATGCGAAAGAAAACACTTTGCTGCTTACAAAAACACTTTATTATCTAAACAAATCGTTATAATCTACCAGAATATACAATGATATGTCTTAATTACCTATTTAATTTAATCAATGTATTTAATTATCTAAATAGGATTGAACTTAATTTAAGTTTACCACTATCCATAACTTAACACACACACACACACACACACACACACACACACACACACACACACACACACACACACACACACACACACACACACATATATATATATATATATATATTTTAATATAAAATATAATACTCAAAGGTCGATTAAAGAAATTTTGTAAATATATGTATAATAATTTATTGAACTGATGATTATAATGATTATAACAACATTTTGCATTAGGTTTTACAAGTGGAGGAAATTGATTAACAAGTTTGAAAATTAAACGTGCAAAAAATACTAATTTAGGAATTTTCAGCTTTTTTTTCTCCTACCTCTCCTTCTAGGTTTTCCTGGGTCAGGGGGTGAGAGCGGTGAATTAATGTCAGAGTTAAATTGCTCCCCAGGCACTGGAACGTGAACTCTTAATTGTTTTATTATCTCTAACTTCGGTTATCGGGTTGCTGTGCACACATGTTAGCCTGCTATGTGAACTCTTAATTGTTTTATTATCTCTAACTTCGGTTATCGGGTTGCTGTGCACACATGTTAGCCTGCTATGCCACTCCGCCCCCTTGGAATTTTCAGCTGCTTTTAATACATTTTTATGTGATCAGACGCTGTGACTGAATTTGGGGAACATAAAAAATCACAGTCTAGTGTAAATATAGCTTCTATGAGAAATTTGGTCCACTTGAAACAGTTAAGGCGATTTCTGCATTCTTCTACTATATTTTGATAAATCAATCTTTGTTCGTCAGTTTATCCGGAAATTTAATCATGTAACATTTTAGAAAACTAAATTAATGAATAATTTGATGAATTTTCCCTTTGTGAAAGCACAACAATATCTACTTGCAATTAATGGGACAAATTTTGACCCATCGACAGTAGGCAATGAAAAGAACTTCATTTTGTAAACTTTACAATGGAAAAATAAAATTTTGATAACTTATAGTAATGCCATCCATAATCATTTATTAGTTTAATCTTCGGCATCATGTTAAATTAAGGGATGTTAACCTGTCCAACCTTTCACATTCCTTACTTTAACATGTGCCAACGAAATATACAGATGTAGGTACTTTCAAATCTCTCTATGCATAGATAGCTCACAAACTGAAGTTATGTGGTTTAAAAAAACAGTTGGAGTTACAAGGTTTTTATTGCTTACCATCGATATTATAAACAGGGTTTTTGTTATTTTAATGGTCTTAATAACTTGTTAGCTGTAAGTTTTAAGCTCTAACTCCATTAAAAATTCACTTCGAAAAATTTTTAATAGCCCAAAATTGTCAGAAAATAACTAAATAAACCTCCAATATTACCTACAAAATATTCACAAATATATTGAAAGATGGTATCCAAGTTTTCTAATTTATATATATTTGTTAGTAAATATTTTGTAAGTAGCTTCAGAGAGTTAGGGAAAAAACAAAATTTTCCTTTCAACTTAGTGCTCCGTAAGTTTGCCCTCGGGCTGCCAATTAATCTAAATAATAAGAGAACTTTCGATATTTATATGTTTTCAGTGTTACTTCCACACATAGGAAGTGCAACATTTGGATCTCGTAATGCTATGGGAGTCTTGGCTGCACAGAATATCTTAGCTGCCCTTGATGATAGAGAAATGCCTGCAGAAATTAAAGTTTGATAAAAGACAATTGTGATATGTTGTTTTAGGGCTTCTGAACATTTAATGTTTCTCTATAATTTTGTTTATTATAGATATTTTTTCATAATTATACTTATTTTGATTTATGCCTCTATCCTTGAAATCATTTGCAAAATATATCAAAATATGAATTTTATAAAAATCCTATGTTTACATGAGATCTGATAATCTTGTTAAACAAAGGTAGTAACATTTACTTTTTATTCATTATTGTTTTCTAGAATAAAAGAATATACAATCCATGTAAAATCTGCAAAAGACAATCATCATATGAAATAGATCTCTTTCTGAATTGAATGTATTCTTCTCACAAAAAGTCACAATTCTGGAAATGTTTTTATGAATTTGGTAAGGTATCTCTTTGAAAACTTTTTCTAGAAAACAACAATTAATCTTCTCAAGTATGCATAGTTTTTCATTATTAAGAGGTAATGAAAAGATAATCATAATATTGGCCACTTATTGACGTCTGGCTTCATAAGAAGTACAATGTTTAAACAAGTGTCTATCACATGTCCAATGTTTTTCTGTACCTCATAACATAATGAGTAAACAAAAAAAGAATACCGAAAGTAGTGTGGATTCAGCTCAGTTGCTGAATGCTTTTTCCTACATCTCAATTACCTGCCTACCTTTCAATGTCACTGTATGACCCCAAAAATATGATTTTCTTTCAGGCTGCTATTCAATATCATGTGAAAGGTTTTTCCATTTTCCCATAATAATACTTGAAAATAATAACCATATTCTAATTGAAAATTAAAACTAGTTGGCAAGAAACAACAGTTCTTAAGAAATATTACAAAAAAATCTGTTGCAGTATGCGGATCCAGGATTTAATTTTACGGGTGCTTCAGTGGAAAGCTTTTTTTTTTTTCATTTATATAACGATAATTACTTTGGAAGAAATAACAAGAAACTGACTATCTATATCAAATGTTCTTTAAGTGATTCTTGAAGTCTTATTATAAATGAAATTACACCAACAATAATACTCTTAGGGGTAATTTTTGTCTGCTTGCTTGCTTAAATTCATTGTCCAAATTTCTCCCGTATTTTTTTATTACATGTATCCGAAACATGACTTAAGTACTATATCACCTCCTAATTATTTTCCTTAACCAATTCATCCATCATGACTAGATTGTCTACCTGGTGGGGTGTTGGTCTTTATATCCATAATAGCCTGAAATCCTGAAACCTAGATATATCATCCTCTTCCTATTACCCTCACATTAAATTCCTCTTCATTGATTTTTTTTGCAAAGCTCATCGTCTCCTTTTTGTTATGAAATGAAAATTTTTTTTTATTATTCTGGGACTGTTGTCCCTTTAGAACAAAATATAAATACAGATTGTATGTCTATGTGGTTACAATTAGGTTGTATATTTACAATAAGAGTTGACTAAAGATAAAAATACTGAAAAGAGAAAGAAAAGAACAAGTAAATTGTACATATATATGAGAAACTAAAATAACCTTAATAAATTGAGGTAGTCTCTGACGGTGCTTAGATATTTCTCTTAAGTAAATTTCACAATCAGTCGGATTGAGAAAGGAGTAGGTGCTTAAAGAGGAGAGGTTTGAAAGAGGAAACTGATTGAGCGTGTCGAATATCAGCAGGGATGGAATTCCAGAGGGAGGCGGCTTGTATTGCAAAGGATTTGTCAAACGCAGCAGTTCAGTGAGGAGGAGGATAGAGGTCGGAAGTACGAGATCTAGTGGGACGGGATTGGATAGAGTATTTGAATTGTAAACTGTGAAAAATATAGGAGGGTTGATGAGTTCTAATGATTTGGTACAGAAAAGTGGCTAGGAAGTACTGACGGCGATAGGATGGGTAGAGCCACCTCAACTCAGTGTAATACTGGGTAATATGCGTATATCTAGAGATTCCGAAAACAAATAGTGCGCAATTCATCAGGCGTTTAAGTTTGGCCTCGGAATCTCCCGAGAGTCCACCGTACACCAACAGCCATAGTCGAAATGGGGGAAAACAAGGGAGGAAACTAGGAGTTGACGGGACTTATATGGAAGGAGATATCGTAGACGATTGAACTGTTTTAGGGTGGAGATAGTGCGACGGGAAATTTGGGAGATGTGAGGTTTCCAGGATAGGGATTAATCAAAAGTAACACCTAGGTTTTTAACGGTGGTGTGGAATAAGATAGGTGAGTTGTTCAGGAGGAGATTGGGAGATACCGGGGAGGATTTGAAGAGTGAGGGAGATCCGATCAAGATGGCTTTTGTTTTCTTGGCTTTCAGAGTGAGCCTATTGAGGTTTGCCCAAGCACTTATTCTGTCAATGTCTTCCTGAAGTTTTAGAGTGGCATCTGAGATATCTGTCGGATTAAAGGAGAGGTTAATTTGAATGTCGTCGGCATACAAGTGGTATTGACAGTGCAGGATAGAGGATGGGAGGTCATTTATATAGATGAAGAAAAGGGTGGGAAATAAGGAAGAGCCTTGTGGGACGCCTCTGGTCAGAGTTAGAGATTCAGATGGGGGGTTATTAGGAATTATAACATACTGGGAGCGACCAGTAAGGATTGTAACCAATTAAGGGAACTAGAAGAAATGAGATATTTTTAAGTTTGGTTAGGAGGATGTTGTGGTCTACTGAATCAAAGGCTTTGGAGAAGTCTAGGAGAATAAGGATGGTTAGTTTCTGCTGATCTATGGCTGTATGAAGGTCTTGGGAAATTTTGATTAGGGCAGACTGAGTAGAATAACCAGGCCTGAAACAGGATTGGTAGGGATTTAGGAGATTATTATCCTCTAAAAAATGGGATAGCTGGGATTAGACTAACCGCTCTAAAGGTTTTGAGAGGTTTGAAAGGTGGGAAATCGGTCGGAAATCATTAGGAGCTGATGGGTTTGAGGTCTTCCTCAAGGTGCGTACTAGGACGGTTTTCCAGGATGTAGGGAAGGTAGCATTTTGAAGAGAATAATTATATATGATTAATTATATAATTAATTATAGAGATTAATTATATATGATAAAGGATCGGAAGAATGGATGGCAATGCGGCTTTAATCAGTCTGACTGGGATCTGACGGGTTGTCGGGACCGTAATCATTGGTATGGGACTTCTGAATGGATTTAAGGAGATAATCTGGTGTAATATGGGAAAGAAAGAAGTGATCAGGATTAAAGGAAGAGAACATAGGAGCCGGGCTGGACTTAGGAGATGTGATTGCAAGACGGCAGGAGACAAAGTGACCGTTGAGATTATCAGCAGAAACGGAATTGGACTGATACTGGGGTGCATTACCAATGGTCAGTTTTCTAAGAATAGTCCACATGTCCTTGGTATTAGGAGAGTTGGATAGGGAATGATGGTAGTAGCGGGATTTAGCACGGCGTACTGCTGATTGAGTGCTAACGAAGCTGTTTGTAGGAGAGAAAATCATCAGGAAGTCGAGTTCGTTTAAACCGTCACCTTGCAGCATCTCTTTCTCTCATACACTCCCTCAAAGCAGGAGTAAGCCAAGGAGAATTTCTCAAACCGGGAAAACAGCAGAAATTGTACGGGAATGATTAAAAACAAAAAAAAAGGAAAAAACATTTCATTTCAGAAAGATAACTTGAAAATATTTTGATAAATTAAATAAAGAAAATTTAAAATCTATTATGCAGCAGTAAATATGTCACGGGAAGCATAGTCGAGTGTTATTGACTGAATTTTTATTCGAATAATTTATTCATTACATTTTTAGTAATTGACGATTCCTAGAATAACCCGTAGTTCTGATTAATTCTGAGAATAATTCAATATTTTTATTGGGAAAAACAAATTATTCAATAATCATATGTCTGAATAAATATTTAATATAAAAAAGAAAAAAAAAAAGAAACACTGAATAATCATGTATTCTTGCATAAATTTATAAAAAAGAAATTAAATTTACATTTTGGTTATTAAGGTTTCTTTAAGTGATCAAGAGAGCTTTAAAAAAAAAAAACATTAAATTTCACAACATAAATTTATTTTTAAATTGCTCCTTCCTATTTTTTCGAATTAAATCGATATTAGGGTCTACTAGTATGTTGTAGTGGGTTCGTTTTATGAAAATACTGTCCAATTGAAGATTGCGTAACCACGCATCAGGTTTTTGTAAATTTTCGAATTAATTCGATATTAGGGTACACTATTATGTTGTCGGGGCACTTTTTATGAAAAACCATGATGACCAATCGCTCAATATCAAATCCAACCATATTTTTTAATAAAAAGTGTCCCCGTTATATGATAGTGGATCTATTTATCGATTAAATCCAAAAAGTTACACAAACTTCGTGCGCAATTGCGAAATCTGAAATACCACAGTATTAAAAAAAAAAAAAAAAAAAAAAAGAGCCTCCAATAACATTACAGTGAACTCTTTTTATCGATCATGTCCACTAGCGGATCCAGGATTTAATTTTGGGGGAGGGCTTCAGCCCGGAACCTTTTTTTTTCATAAAAATGAAGATAATTACTTTGGAAAAACAGAAAGAAACTAACTACCTTTATGAATAGGTGTTTAAGTTATTCCTTAAGTACTTTTAAATGTAATTACACGAACAATAATACTTTAAGAGGTATTTTTTAATTTTCTTTTCCCATAAAACATGGTTATATTTTTCCATTTTGGGGGGGGCTTCAGCCCGAAAGCCCCTCCCGTAGATCATGTCCAAAAAGTTACAAAAACGTGACGTTCAATCTGAAATCCGACAGTATTTTCATAAAATGTGCCTCCCACAATATAATAATGGATCCTAATATCGATTAAATCAATCTCTAATGCGACAGTGTTTCCATAAAAAGAATATAAGATATAAATTTTAGGTGAAACATTTGTCCATTTTTGTATTAGTTTGTACATTTTACATTTTTAGTTTGTATTACACTGTACATTTTTGTTGTAGTTTTTTGCATTTATGATCAGCCTATCCCCACGGGCGGATCTAGGGGGAGGGGGCTTCGGGGCTGAA